TGCTGTGTTCATAGACTAACGTTTAGTCCAAGAAATATAGCTTTCCATTACAATTCAGCCATCTTCAACAGTTGAAAAGGCAAAAATCCAAATGGACTTAACAATGCTTGATTTCTCTGAGACTTGTCCAAATCGTTCTTGACATTTTTACTGTATTTTCTGGAGTCTGACTGACGAACAGTGTGCAGTACGCATTGAATGGCATGTATGATGAATAGGAACACTTGACTGTTTTATTGTAATCGTTTTGTTTCGTTATAGAAAGACGCGTTATATTTGATACCACCAGATACGGGTGATGGGAACATGTCCTATTTTTTCAGAATATATTACAGATTGTTCAGTCATTCAGGTCACCATGGTGTAGTGGTACATGAATTGTGGTTGTCACTTTCGCACCAAATCGACAGCGATCAATTAAACATGCTAAAAGGATATAGTATGTGGTTTGTGTTTCAAATGTTACAATATTTTGGTGTCCTCTTCCAAATGTGTCAAAATATTATACACGTTAGAAGCACTGGTACTGGTACAGTAATAATATAATGAATAGTTTAGTGCCAATGTAATCCAGACAAACCGGCCAACGTTCACAACTCATTTAGAATAAGGACACCACCAGAATGAAGCTAAAAGTGTTGGTTATTATTGATATAAATATACAACGCAACAACCTCTACGGACATGTCATGTACGTGCTGCGGAAAATCAGGACATGGTGCTCTTTCTGTAAGAACAAACACCTCTGACAAGACTCCTTATAGATGAAAATGTAAACAGAACATACCTTAGTAATCCTGCCCGCCTTCACGCTTGTGTATCCTTTTGTATGTAATCATGTACATAGGTGCAGCTATTGGACGTTACCCTGGCTGCCCTATCCGTGTCTGTCAGTCATTTAACGCAGGCGAGGACTTTAACTATGTAACGATGCCTCTGGCGGAATTTACCTCACATGAACCTGAAGAGCAGCTATTAATAATTCGGGTAAAGACAAATGCGAGCGACACGCACGGGTGAATCTGTTATATTTTGTGTTCTAATTAATCCCTCGGAGGTGGTTTATGGGCGTCTGACCGCTGTCAATCCATTGATTATTATTACGAATAGGTAAGATCTCATTGTAAGACGGAATTTGACAAACATCCAACGAAAGTTACAAATGTATAAGTTTGAATTTGTGCATCTACATGTGCATCTAGTTGACAATGTTTTACACGTTTACGATTCTTTTTATGACGTTATTATCTTAAAAAACCAACAACTTGCGTCAATAGTTAATGTCTCTACATACATATCTTCTAGATAACTTCAATAACTCTGAACAGTTTATATAATGCCTTGGATGTTGTAACCCAGATCAAGAATATATTCAGAAAACGTTCGTTCATAAACATATATTAATATTTTTCATTTAGGTGTTGTTGTTTTTGTAATTACTAAAATATATAGAGTTGAGCGTGTGAAGAGCATGGGTGGATAATAGCACTTGTAAATAACTACGTTCAACGTTGTAAAACCGTAAACCTATCCAGATATAAGGTCAAAGCAGGTGTGGAAAGTTGGTGTATATTTTATCGTCCAGAAGTATAAAGCTAACACCGCACTACTAACGTCACATCTTTGTTTATGACAAGCCTCCAGGCACTAAGGCAGTTGGCTATAGTGGGGCAGTGATTGTGGATCTGTGTCACGCATCGACTAAAACTTAAGTGTGTCCAGTCGTTGATGAACGGGAAGGTGTAAACGAGAAGGCCGTTGATCTGTCAAAACATTAATAGTGATGCATTCATTACTCAAGGGGGTGTTTTAAGGAGGAAGTGACGGGGGCAGTAAAGTTCGGGGTGTTGATCTGGTGTCACCTCCAATCGATAAGATGGTTTAGTGATACAGTCACGGACACAATAGAAGTGATTGATTGTTATCAGTTATCAGTGATGAAGCAATCAACGCTAATTTGTGATTTCTTCCCCCAACTTCTATGGTTCGGTGAATTTAAAATACAGCTTATGAAAAGTTCATAATGATATTCTAATACAGTGCTATACGTTTATTTAACCGCATATAGACTCTTCTAACAAGGGTTAGCTTTTAAACCGTTAGCTAAAAGGCACACTACTTTGCCCAGCTATATACGATATTGAAAGAACATTGTTATAAAATACAATCATGGGTATCAAAGGCATTTTACCTTAGCTTTGAGTTTCGGAGACAGTATTAAATATGGTAAACTTTTGATAATTGTAAAGTTTCTATCAGATGTAGTTGATACTGTGTATACTTTTGTTAATATGATATACATATCAGGTAGTGATCATATCAAGTGTTCAGAAAAGGGCGGACGTATCCTGTTCCACCGGTAGTACCTATCACAAATACATGCAAAGGCAAGCAAGTTGTTCATTTGAAACAAAATACGAGAACATAATCTTCAAGTCACATAGGGAAATACATCGGACATGATTGTGTCAGTGATGCGTCAAATATGGAAATGCCCACGACACGTCTATCCTAAATGTCAGTGAAAACTTTACCGATGCCTTGAATGTTGTAACCAGTTTTACTTTTAACCAAGAGTCCCGTGACGCTTCGTATGTTCCACTGAACCTCAGATGTTGTGAACTTAGGGAACTCTGAGCAACACAGAGGGAAAGGTGATGATTGGAAAAGCTGAAGTCACCATGCTGTCCTGGGGGACCTTTTTTGTCATTTTGTTACAAATATGAAACAGAAGAGTCTGCTTCGGTGGTCTGTTTGTAATTCTTGTTTTGCTGAGTAAATCGGGGGAACGAAATAAACTTTATAAACTTAATTGTAAGATATAATAAGATATATAATTATTCTCGAAACGTTCGCTGCCCTTAGAATTCTTAACTTTGATCGTAGCCAATGTGTTAAGAATGGGCTTAAGAAGTTCGTAGGGCTACGAACGTTTCTAGAATAGCTAGCCAGAATCTTAAGTTGGCCAAATCCCGTTGTATTGATATTGCCAATCTGAAAAAATCTGAAACATCTGATGCTCACTTTGTGCTTAAATGTCTAATCCCCATATTTTATAAAGGAGAAAATTTAAATTTGGATATTGTTTCATCAGTAAACATCTGGTGACATTTAATATATGTTTTGATGAACCGGTGAAGATATAGATGTGACTATACATTTGGTCACCCCGTGACAAACGCTCAGTGGATCAGTGATGAGACCTTTATGAGGGATAGATTGTGTTTAAACATTAGGATGTGAAAATAATGGTTTTCAGACACAAAGACATTGCTTAGGAAACCCGATTAGCAATACTCTAAAACAGGAAACGCGTGTTAAGTTACAATAACGTTAGATCAAAGTAGCTTTTAGACCTGAAGTACAAGATATTATAACCGTCGTAATCTATGACAGGTTGAATGAATGGTAGGTCAACCGAGCTTCTAAGACGTAAGGAGGGATATATTCTAACAGGAGCAATGCATATTTAGTTGCATGAATAATAACGAAGATTACAAGTGTATGGACAACTTCGTTCTGAGGCATTTCGACATAGATTCTTAGGCCGAAAAGCCCTTTATTAAGATTAAGTTTTTAGCTTGATAACGACGTAAGAATCTACACCGGAACGCTTGATAACGATTTTAGAATCTGCACCGAACGTCGATTTATGCAATAAACAAGAAGTCGTTACAAATCTTCATTACTGACTCACTAACGTTCCAGAATGTCTAATAAACAGCATAAAGCTTTTTAGACGCTAGGTACGCTATGTTCTAACAGAAGCGGTTTATAGTTATAAGAACTCACTCTCGATTATCTATCGAAACAGATTATATATTAAGTAAGCCTGAAAATGTGGCGGGAAAGCTTACAATAACGCCATAGCGTAGCATAACATCGCGCACCATATTCCTTTAGAACTGTCATGTTTTGTAATTCTTCTGAATGACGACGATAAAAACAAGAGGAATGTTTTTGAGATTTTAAAAACAGTCACAATTAGTCACAAGATTAGTAGCTGTATTGTGCCTATCGTAAAGATTAAGTTGCAAATACTGAAGTACAGACATGGTTCCAGAGTGTGAGCTACGTAATGTCCTCCAGGGTATGCCAGCCTATCATGACTAGTTTTCGTAGTCGGCCGCACATGTCAGTGCCACGGAGCTGTCATTACCGTACATACTTGCAATATCAACCCGTTTTGAAAGAAAATTAACAGTGAAATTTAATACACAAAATCTTTCAACAGATATAGAAGATGGTAATACTATTAAGTATCAAAGGATTCAAAATATATATACTTAATATCTTTAAAAATATTTATGTTCTATGACATTGCTAAAAATGAAATTTTTAATACTGTCTCCGAAACTCAAAGCTAAGGTGAAATGTCTTTGATACCCATGATTGTATTTTATAACAATGTATGTATATATAATATGCCACAGTTCATTTTCCGCGCGATTATGAAAAGAATGTAGCTTCTTCGTGAGTTTTAACGTGCTGTATAGCACAGGTGTGGGGAGACGGTAGGTGGCATGTCCCATATTTTACTCATTTCACTGTACTGTCGTCAGCAAGGCGGATGGTAGCCTTCATATGAAAATGAGTTGGGAGTTCATAAATATACGTCAGCGCCAAAGAATAACTTCATTCGGTAGTCCACAGTAACACATTCCATTAATATTAAAAAATACAGTAACGACGAACAGAATATGACTGCACCACTGAAAATCAGAAAATCTTTTTTATTTGCAATGGAATTAACGCTGTAATCGCATTGTTTAAGTATATATATTTGTTCTAAAGCTTTCCTTTAAAGTGGGTAATTCGTGTTCCAAATTGTCTTATGAATGTATTCGACATGTCATCCCTTGAAATATTGTCATCTCACAAGGGTAAAAACTTCATGTGACTCTGCAAGGAAGATCACAACAAAAGGTTTTAAAAAGAAATACTGCACAGTAAAAACAATTGATAGACACATGTAAAAGGATTGCCAATCAAACTCTCACCTTTTGTGGTCAGAAGCGTTTCTCTACCATATGGCATAAAAGAATTGCCATGGTAACCTTTAAAAGTGGCATCAGGCTGAGTAAATAAAATAATCCTTTGTTGAAGATCAGGATTGTTTCTCGAAATGATGGCCTGGCTAACCTCTCCCCACCTCTGCTCACAGTCCTACCTACGACAGAGGTAAGCTGGGAGCACACCACGTCACGATATGTCACCAACTCCCTTGACAGATACACACATAATCCGAGACATGTCACATATCATAATTAGGAGGCCTTAACACCGCCTAAGTTACAATGTAGGTCAGATGGGACGGATGGGGTGTTTTTTAAATAGCGTTAATTCTACTTAGTGTTAAACGCTTTTGAAGTTTGGTGGAATTGACTTTACAGCTTACAAGTTCTAATAGGTCCGAGTTGGGACGGCCAAAACACATATTGGAAAATACCCCAACACCCTTGAGTTTTAACCCTCATATGTCCATTTACATTCATATTATAATTATGTTCCTTCGCATGACGTTTTGACACTCCGGTGGCACCATACATGGATTTAGATATGTACGTGCTACGATTAAAGGCGAGCGTCACGTGCAATAACAAATTTCAGTAGACTGTTTCAGAAAAGCATGTTAACTTGAAAAATCAATTGACTTTGTTGTTGATAAGCAAATTGAGGCCTCATCAAATGACAACTGTTCAAAGGTGTCACGTTAATGCTTTTCGGAATGCTGGCATGTCATTGGGGGCTATTGCAAGATATGATGGTTTTCAGCCATCGACTATCAGAAATCATCAGCAAACTGATAACGTTAAGGATCGTTAGTTTTCAGGTGGACCATGAGTGACAACTCCTAGGGAGGATACAGCCCTTCTCAGAATAACAAAACTTCATCCGTTCATGTGAAGTGGTGTACTAAAAACAGAGTAACTTTCACATCGTTGTTTGTCCAACAGGACGGTCCGAAATCGCTTCGACCGGGTATAGAGCCAGATGACATGCCAGATGTACGTTGTTAGACGTCACTGGAATTTGAGGTCATGGGAAAGGGCTTCTTTTGTTCATGACTGATGGCCTAGCTCGTGTTTTGCCCCGCAGAAACACCGCATATGCACAAATGAATATCTTGGAGCAAGTACCGTTGGGTTCATTGGTTGAGTTGGGACTGCCTGTCATATGGTTGTTAACAGGAACTTTTAATGATCAGATAAAATCTGAATGGACAACGGTACATGACTGACATCCCATACAAGGGTGTTGCAGTACATTTAGATGATCATCATCTTGGCACAAAGACGGTAATGCTAAGCTACATCGTGCACGTGTCGTTGGTGATTCCTTACGTCAAGAGGCAGTAGCAACTCAACACTGGCCGCCCACCAGGAGTCCAGATCTTAATCCCATAGAGCAAATTCAACGTCTGACAGTCATTGTATCAGTGGGACGGTGAAGTAGCCTTGCCACGCCGAAGACTCAGGTTCGATTCCCCACATTGGTACAATGTGTGAAGCCCATTTCTGGTGTGCCCCGCCGTGATATTGCTTTAATATTGCTAAAAGCGGCGTTAAACTAAATTCACACAATGTATCAGTGATATCAGATTATTTTCCAAAAAACAACGTAAACAGGAACGTGACACGCTGACAACGTCTGTTGTTTTGGGGCAACAAATACACAATATTTGTGATTTGTTAGTCAGTATCTAACACTTTTCAAAATATTTATTTCGGTTTTTTTCTGGAAAATAATCCGCCCAAACCAGACGTGTACTTTCTTTTGTTCGTCAGTTTACATGAATGTAATGGGGCTGGGTGTCCGTGCTCTATGAACGTAGATGTGGTTATAGAAGTGGCATTCTGCCCTGTGCTACCGGTTCAACAGGATAAACTCACCCTCTCCTCGAACACCCGGTGTCGTCCCCGAGTTTCAATATCTATTGAATTACTTTTCAGTTTAAACTTATGTTTTGCTGTTTACGTCGCGGAGTCTGCCACGTCGGATAATTATGAGACTCACATTGACATTTTATCTTCTTCGAGTTTTGGATGGTTCGTTGCTGTTTAACGCCGCGCCTAGCAGTATTCCAGCCATATGGTGGCGGTCTGTAAAATAATCGAGTCTGGACCAGACAGTCCAGTGATCAACATCATGAGCATCGATCTACGCAATTGGGATACGATGACGTGTCAACCAAGTCAGCGAGCCTGACCACCTGATCCCGTTAGTCCGTAGACGTCTCAGTGTCACATATGATACTAATTGAACGTCTATGTACTGATGGGGTGGTAGGGTAGCCTAGTGGTTAAAGCGTTTGCTCGTCACGCTGAAGACCCGAGTTCGATTCCCAACAGAGTACGATGTGTAAATGACCTGGAGTCCTCCGCCGCGATATTACTGGAACATTACTAACACCATATTACCATATTCACTCGCCGTACAGCACAGTTTCCTGGCAAAGAATTATATTGGTGTAACGGCAAATGACACATTGTTGCCACAGTAGCTTGGAGTGAGTGAGTGAGTTTAGTTTTACGCCGCTTTTTTTTAGCAATATTCCAGCAATATCACGGCGGGGGACACCAGAAATGGGCTTCACACATAGTCCCCATGTGGGGAATCGAACCCGGGTCGTCAGTGTGACGAGCGAACCACTAGGCTACCCCACCGCCCCACAGTAGCTTGGAGCGGCTTTATGATCAGGGTTCAGATCAACACGTTTTGTGAGGTCCAAGAAGTGTCGCTCACTTACACTGTACATGCCGTCATTGTGAGAGTCTCGTTTGTTTGCTGTTTTACTTACTCAGGTCTTGTGTTGTGTGGTTGGTGGTCTACGTTGGTAGTGGTACCTCTCGGTTAATAGACAGAGTAAAATCTCAAAACCGCGCCATTTACATGATTTCGACAATACTAACACGATTACCAATCGCACTTCTATCTTTATTACTAATGATCACTAAACAGATCCTTCTCTTCAATCCCCCACATTGGTACAATATGTAAAGCCCATTTCTGGTGTTCCCCCGCCTTGATATTCCTGGAAGTTTGCTAAAAGCGGCGTAAAACCCAACTCACTCAGAGACAGCTAGCTGCCAAGACACTTGTGTCCGACTGTACATCACATCTATCATAGTAGTATGGGGAGCACTGCAACTCCCTCTATTACAACATTCCTCAACAGCTCCTTTCACAACTCCAACGGATTCAGAATTCAGCCGCCCGTGTTGTTGCCCGTGCACCACGCTACCAAACTGTGACACCTATCCTCCAAACTCTTCACTGGCTTCCTGTAATAAACAGAATTCAATACAAACTTCTTCTTACACACAGCTGCATCTATGAAAACATGTTTTCTCAATATCTTAAAAGCCTCATTCATCTCCATGTTCCAAGCCGATTGCTCCGCTCGTCAAACTCCCTACTGCTTACACTGCCTCACGTCAAAACAGCCATGGGATCAAGAGCGTTCTCTGCTGCAACCCTCTATCTCTGGAACATTCTACCACTCACCCTAAAAGAAGTAGAATCTGCTGATGCTTTCAAAACTGCCCTCAAAACTCATCTGTTCAAACTCTCTTTTCCATAGACATTGTCTACAATCTTTTATCTTCATAGCGCCATTGAGCAATATCTTTTGGAAATAGGCGCTCTATAAATCAATTATTATTACCAAATTGTGTCGTTCAGTTAAACGTGATAAAAAAGGTCCATAAATGATTTTCCAGAAAATACATGATTTCCTTTCACTTGTATACAAACCAATAGCTAGCTACAGCAATTATTAAGTAGACAACGTTGATAACAGTCTGCTGTGTCATAATAATCCCAAGGCTATTGCCTGTAATCTGTCAAATATCCCCTGTCTCCAGTCTAAGTGATATGCGATAACAGGTCGTTAACTGTCAAACAGAAATATTTAACTTATAACAGACATGAAATAATAGTACATGCTACGAAGTGAATGAAACTGGACATTAAAGTACATTTGTTTTTATATTTCCAAAGTTATCAGCCTACGACATCCCTCTCAGCATGAGTGAGTGAGTTACGTTTTAGCAATATTCGAGCAATATCACGGCGGGGGACACCAGAAAAAGGCTTCACATGTTGTACCCATGTGGGGAATTGAACCCGGGTCTTCGAGGTTGCGAGCGAACTATTTAACCACTAGCTAGATTACCCCACTGCCTCCCTCTGTCAGCATGGACATGTATCAGAGTAAGTCCAGTTCCATGAGCAAAATCTGAACTAAAACCTGTATTAGAAATCATATGAAGATTCTTCCGAACGATGAACTATGTGCTGCGGAGTATATACTAGTAATCAACTGTGTACATTTGAGATATACAACTGAAGCGCCAGCGCAGCATATCCAGGGAACCAGGCTGGGTAACATACAGGTTTATTATCTGTGTGATATGTTTAATTATGACCATAAATCATAGGAACAATCAGCGACTTGCGTGCTTACTGTACATGTGTCCTTCAAATACTATTTTCAAATAATGTTGCTCTTAATAAAATCCATGATTCAAATGGACACTTTCTCAGTAAAGTACAAATGCTAGTACTTTTGTTGGGTTGAGCCCCATCCGGGATTCGAGCCCACACCCTCCGGGTCAGGCACCTAATCGCCAGCACACAGTACAGTACCGTACAGTACAGTAGACAACTCTCATTACGTAATTAACAGAGTGACCCCCGTTCACTGATCACTCTTGGTTTCACGCCCCAATTACCTCATTAATTATGTTATCATGTCAGAAACAGAAGCTGTTATAACAATTGAGACAATTTCAACCCACTATAGTATACATTATATTACTAGCATAGATCTGTATCTTATTGTATTGTGACTTTTTTACTTGTGACTTTTCATCCAAGACTTTTTTCCTGTGACCTTTTCCTGTGACTTTCTTTCCTACATTCACTATACAGACTTGAAGCAACTACTTTAATTTTGGGACTTCCAGACACGATCTTACAGGACAAGAGCATGAATTCCAACAAGCTGAAATTTCATAACCAGTAAATAAAATAGATGTTTGATATAAATTTTAAGTGTAAGACGCTTTGTTAAATCGAAGACTTTTCAAGCTGCTTTGGTTAATTTGTATGCTTTTCAATGTTGACACAGGAAATCAAGGCTTTTCAACAGGGACCAAAAAAGGTTGAAGGCATTTTGTTGTGCTAAGGGGGCTATAAGAATAATTCCACTTCTTTAAAGTTCATTTTAATACCAGCTTAAATTCTGACTGGTTAAGGAGCGGACAATGACTTTTCATCACTTGATGGGAAAATGTGTTGGAGACCGCTGAAAAATCAATCGAAACACATATCACGTAGCTTTCTTATCTCGCGTAAGAAATCGCATGATCCGATGGTTATCCGAATGCATCGGTGCAAAGGGAAGTAACTCTATCAATTTTGTGTCGTCTGCTGCTTGTTTTGCCAACTCTGTGAAACTGTTGACTAGAAGTTGAACATCCAAACATATATATGGCTGTATATTTCCCTACGAAGTTGAATAAGACTGAAAGAAATCTACCAAAAGCCATTACTAATGGTCCTTTCAAACTATTCACAAGGTAGGCTTCAGACTAATTTGGTTATGGTGTGTGACCTCACTGATGTTGTGTCATGCTATACAAGCAATGTTGATCTTTGCTCACACATTCATCCACTGACATCCTTGGTCCAGATTTCAATATTTTCTGTATTTTTGTTACAGTGTTGTCAGTTTTGTCACAAAAGAACATCTCTGATCAGAACACATAGAACAGCTCAAGACTAGACGTTTATTATCCCATAACAGCGTCTAAATATGTGCATTTTCACTGACAGAGAAACATGAAAGACAGGAACCCTCATTCACGTAACAAGTATAGGTTAACGTTAAATACAAAATTAAACATATATATATATAAATGCAATGTGTGAATAATTGTATCTCACCATAAACAATATCAAAATGAGAAATTATACCTGCTAAACACACAGTAAAAACAGATCTTGTCCAAAATGCAGTCAATGCACATTATAGAACAAATATTTAACAGTGAACAAACCATGGGACTTGAGAAAGGTACAGATTTACTGTTCTGGCATTAGAACATGCACAGACCCATATTAGTTAGTATGTAAGGAACTACATATCAAACAGTTTGTAACATTTTTTTCAGGAAAACATTCAGTCCCACTGCATTTCATTTCTGTAGTCTCAATTTGTTATTATGCTTTTTCAAATTGCCGAATGTATCTTACAGTGTCAGGTGTAATGATAGTAATGATTTTGCTGCTGAAATTTCTGTTTATTTTATCAAATTGCACTCAGACAAAAATAGAACTGACCAATACAGATAAAACCATAAGAAAACTTAGGTGTGAGTTTTTAAAAAACTAATACACCTTAACGCTACTTTTGAAGGCATTTTAAAGGAGCTGACAAAAGCATTGGTTGGGCCATTTCTATGGTTTATTTAAACAAAGAAAGACTGAGATGAAAATCTAATAATCAATAAATTGTGACCTAAAATACTGCTGACACCTAAGATAGGTATACACTTATACTATCACATCAGTAAATCCTTGAGTCAATAAGGCATTGATTTTTAACAAACCTACTCTCATGTTCATCAGCTGTGAACAATTAAACTGTTATGACAATATCACTGCACTGGAATTCACCCTTTAACCATAGAAACATTAAGAAACCTTTTATCATGTGCCAGATAACTTGTTATGACAGTTTCGAGTTATCAGAGAGCTGATGTATAAATATACTAAGTCTGATCAAGTATTGCAACTTTTAAGATATAACGTTATAACTTAGAGCGGAAACTGAACTGATATTTCTGCTCTCAAAGTTTATATACTTCAACCGAGTCCAGCCTAATTTGCTTGTTCCATGTAATGCAGTGATAGTCTTAAGTTATGAGCATAACCAAATTGACTTATTGATTTTGCTTGATAAGATCAGTATCATCTGAACTAAAAAATGGTACTGAAAGAAGCAAGAAGTCAAAATTCATGTCATTTCTGTCTTCTATGATACTACAGCTTCTACAATGTAACTTAAATATATCAGGCAAAGTAAGTAGATCTAATATTTGGCGATGAATTATATTTCCACACCTTTTAAAATAAACACCTTTCTCAAACACACACTGATTTAAATAAAAAATAGTTACTTTAAGTACTGTGAAAAAAACACCATGAATTCCTTGCATACACTGTACAGGAAGCTTGGTTGTAAAATACAATGTGAGTGTAGTGGCCATAAAATTTCAGAGTCCTGTGCTGGGATTCAAACCACAGACCTTCTGATCTGAAGTCGGATGCCGTGTCCACATGATCAAAGAGGTTAACCCAGTCAGCAAACTGACAAGGTAAGTATGTCAACTGTAGGATGACTCCACTCCCTGCTACATGAGGTTAACATGGTAACAATGAGCGTCCCACATCATCACTTACTTGGGCCCAAAACAGTTTGACGATCTGCAAAATATTGGATTATTAGTTGTTTGTTTTAATCCACAAAGTAACCAAGTCTTACCACTCAATCCATTATGTTTTCTTGTCCAAGGATAGAATTATGATGACCAATTCTAACCTTCAAACAGGTAATTGGTCAGTTGTTCTTCATAATCTATATTATAGACAAAGTTCAAAATTGCTGAGAAAGACATTTTTTCACAATCTGATACCTATTTAGGCATGTTTGACATTTTAGAGCATATGCGTATTTGGTGATAAAGTTGGACATGGATCATACAGTTTTAGCCTGACAAGACTTTTCCAATATATTATGGTATTATGACAGTTTTCCATTATATTATATCCAATACTATCACAAAATAACAAACTTCTGTAGGAGTGAACAGTCAATGGTGGAGGCATACACATTTTCCTGCAAGTTTTACTTTTCTATGATTTTGCTATGACTTTAGTCCAATTTTCTATTTTCCCTTAGGAAACTCAACTTTAAGTTGCATAACATTCCAGTGCCCCCAAACCAATATAACCCTGCTAGAGCAATAATAGCAAAAGAGGCAAAATATAAAGTAATGAATTTGTTTTGAATGAAAAAAGAATTGCTTGAAAGAAATCTTACATTAAATGGTATCCAGAAGAAAAATACTGTTCTGAGTGAATGTATCTTGTCTAATCAATAATGACATATAAAGGGGTTAACTCAGTTTCAGCTATCTTCAATCCCCACTCAAGATCGATATCCAGTTACATGTATTTGTCATTCTTCAGATTATGAGCCATCCTCGATAATCTCCAGGGTATATATTCTGATAAATCGTCACTAGTACCCTGGATGCATGTACGGCTCGACACGATAATTGTATTAAATCCCCTTGCTGGCTTTTTATCCAATCGTGTGTCTACGCTGGGAAGTTGAGCGTACCAATCACAAGGCTTCTTTCATAACTTCCACTTCTTTTATCTAACCGATTAAACTTGGCAACACAATTGTTGCAGATGTACCCTGAAAGAGGTAGAAGGAGTTCTTGCATATATTTTTGAAGGTATCAGAACTGTTAATTTGTCTGTGTGATTTTCCCCCTAAATCTGAGTCTCAGAGCGAGCAAACCTTCAAGGCTTCAGCCGCCATCTTTGTTGACACTTGCAAGCTCGGTTGTAACAGCTTATCTGATTGGCTACTGTGAGAAGGTGAAGCCAGCAAAGAGAGGTAATACAATTATCGGGCTGAGACGTAAATGCATCCAGGGTGCTTATGGAGATTTATCAGAACGTATGCCCTGGAGATTGTCAACGATGATTATGAGCATGACCCAAATATACACACAGATCCAGTCAGGACAAACTAGAAGAGCAGATTAACAACATTGGAGTCAATCTTGTCAAAACAATCACATTAACCACACATTCCCATCAATATACTGACATGTGCCAACCACTTGATATAACAGATCTTGTAACAAATATAGCAAAATACAATGCCTATTCAGCAAAAACATTTTTATGATGCAGAAGATTTTATGTCTTTCAGTGGCATCACCTGATAAAGGGACCTGGAATGGTCTCGAAATGCCGTGAGGGAAATCATAAAGAAGTTTAATCCATAAAAATATCTTGGACAGAAGATTTTACTTATTTTACATCAGTTTGAATATGTACTTTGCATTGTATAACAACAACTAAACCTAATGGAACAAGGACAGAACCTTACACACTGAACACTGGATCAATGGATACAAAGGAAATACATTATGCCAACACATTCCAAAGGGATGCACAATATTATTCACTGTACCCATAACACATCTATGACTTTGTAAAGTGTTGGTTGTTTCTTTCTTGGCAGTTACGAACATCATTTCATACGTCCGTCAACAAGAAATTATCAAAAGGTACAGTTCTCTACACTGTTACGTCACAGGACACTTGTTTTGCCTGCAAGGACCCTTAAAAGTAATAATTAGGGGTCCCTGGGATCCCACATGTTCGTGAGTTGAGATAAAACCCATCCATAAGTCACCCTTTACAATAAGCACTGACAACTGGAGACCTATTCTAACTCAGAAGCCCAATACTGGCGCAGATAAGGGAGGTAACCCTGACAATATTCTGCAGCAAAATATTTTACTCATGTACAATTCTGTCTTAACTCCAAAATCAATTGGCAGCACTTTTGGTGTATGCACGTATTGCCAGTGCAATGATTTAATGGTTTGAAGTATTCCCAGAAAGTGGATTACACGACACAAAATGAGTTCAGTTTTATGCTGCTTTTAGCAATATTCCAGTAATGTCATTGCGGCGACATAAAATGAAGACAACAGTGGTGATTTCATGTGACAGCCATAATAACAACAGTGTACACTCTGCATTCCATACACTAGTCACATGAAAACAAACAGGTTATAATGAAACACAGATGGTGCAGAGTTGTGGACGGATTGTGTGCCGATACACACATTTACACAGGTTACCATGGTTGCAAAAAGATCAATATCAATATCAAATACATGTTATGCATGAACACCCCAATGTAATATATACATACACAAATGAGACAGAATTTTCAAAATGTCCTAATTTACATATATGTTGAACATTATTTTTTTTCAGAAATGTAGAATAAAACATAAAGATTGAGAACTCATTCCTTCCAGCTTAGTCTTCAGGCAAAAAATTAATTCAACATATTCCAACTAGGTCAAACATGTTGAAATAGAAGCCAAATTAATCTTTTGGATGTCACCCCCAAAAATTCATTACTTACGTTTCCACTTGGCCACCAATTTTTTTTCAAGTGTCACGATTTTTGCAAAGCAAGGAGTCAAAAAAGAGAGGCCTGAGCAACATGTGACAACTTGAGGATCCATGGTTTGGGAAAGTTGACATGCCAATAATATTTCACCATAAAGAATGACCTCTTTAAGTTATAAATCAGTAATGTTATGATCATTCATTCAGAAAAATATTCTCATCACATTTGCATAATCATTGAAATATTTATGTGCTGAACATTTTCTTTCTAGTATCTAACAGTATATTAAAATAACTTTCAAAGCATAAAATGACTTTAATATTTACATGTCACGAACAGAAACTTAACAGATTTACAGGACAATATTACAAACATAATACCACAGATTAAAAGAATACTAAATGTTCAAATAAAACACAAAAAGTATAATGTTGTGCACTGTTATACTAAAATCATAGCACATGCCATACTTAAAAGGTCATCACATCATACAGATAGACACAGTAAGCAATTCCATAGAAAGGATGAGGATTTGATGAGGGGAGATAACTCCTGATACCTTCAACTTTCCAGGTTACCATACACCATTACCAGTACTATTCAAACATGAGGCAAACATGGCATCACCAGTCACATTTGAATTGCGAGATTGAAAAATATGCAATATCAGCTTGTTCTTTCAAGATGGAACCATATTCACCCTGTGAAATTTATGATCCATGTTAAGAAATATTTCAATCCCAGCGCTAACATGATCATAACTTCTTTACTGTATTTCCTCTAATAAGCGGTGGGTATCTAATGAACGTCTGGGGTAAAGCAGCTCACTAAAAATTATGGTAATTACACATAGTAAGTGCAAAAGCGCCGGGCCTCAGAAAAGATATTAAAGGTTATCTATTTTTTCACAAATTTGAAGTAGAAAAACTGAACTTGAACACCAGTAAACAGGATTAACAGCCCATCAGGTCAGCATTTACCTCTAATTAATTACAAATATAGTATTCTTCAACACATCTCTACCTTGTCAAATACAATTAATAAAAAAAGAAGTTTTGTAAACAACTGCTTCATACAATTGGTATTATCCTTAGCAATACTTTCTCTTCAAAGCACTGGTTACTTTCCCTTGCTGGCACTTGTTGTTCTGTTCCGCAGACTCCTCCTACGTGGCTCCAAATAGCCATTCTGAATTGCGGCAACATCATCAGGTGTGGCTTTACTACTGCTTGCACTGGCTGTCCGCTTTTCTTTCACCGACTGCTTTTCACTTACTATCCGCTTGGTGACTACAGTCGTGGTAGTGATCTTCTTCGCAGGTGAGGGTGGAGCGCAGATGTATGGCGGCCCACGTTTCTGATGGAGTCGCAGGCCAGTAGAAGCAGCAAATGCCTTTCCACACACTTGACATTCATATGGTTTTTCCCCGGTGTGGATGCGGACATGTGTCTTTATGTGATCCTGCTTGTCAAACTGCTTGTTACAAAAGCTGCAAGAAAATGCCTTCCAATGTTCCAAAGACTCTTTACATGTTTTAGAGTGTTTGTTGAGGTCTGGAAACTGCTTGAACATCTTGTGACACTTGCTGCACTTGTACACATCCCCGCCCAAGTGTTCATGGTAGTGGGACTTCATCAACTCATTGTTCGCGAAGAACTTGCCACAGAGGTTGCATCTAACCTGAGAAGATGGGTTCTTGGAGGTATTGTGTTCATTCTCATGCTCCTCCAGATGTTCCAAAGAAGAGCATGTGAAGCTGCACACCGGACAAGGAAATATCTTCGGTCCTGCAAACCATCAGAGAACATTATCATATGCTTTTCAACTACAATTACTATGTCAGGAAGAACATGCACCATTTGACAATTCCACCAAAAGTATACAATTTGTTGAAAAAATATTTCATTAAAAAATATCCCAAAGCAACATAAGCTTGATAAAAATCTGCTAATCACATTGAAGAGTATCTTGTGGAAATAGTCACTTTTCTTCTCTTTTATGCTGCAAACATTGTATCTTGTCCTCAATCATTCAGTGTAAATACACTATGCCATTTAGAAAGTGGACAAAATGTCAAATGTAATGAATATTTGGGATTACACTCTCTTAGTGCTGATAAGGTGCCTAAGTCTGAGGGTGTGCGTTCGAATCCTGGATGGAACAACCCCACAAAAGTATGAGAATCTGTACTTCAAAAGCACAAGAATCTGTACTTAACTAAGAAAGTGTAATCCCAGACATATATGTTATATATCATTCAGTGTATCAAATATGCATTCTATCAAGACCCATTGACCAAATTGACCACTATAGATCTGGAGTTCGATCCCCGACCGTGTCATACCAAAAAGATGTTAAAATATGGTACTTATTGGTCCCTGCCTGGCGCTCGGCATTCATGGGTACAGTAAGGACTGGTTGTCTCGAGTCAGTATAATGTGTCTGGGTGGGGTATTCATGCTTCACTGCGGCATGGTATTTCAGTGGGCTAGCACTATAAAACCAGCTTTAGTCTGGGCTAGTACAAACAGCCGCACATACTCATACACATACACACACATGCACGTCGTCATATGAGCGAAATATTCTCAAGCACAACGTTTAACCCAATTCCACCACCACTATAGATCTGGGAGGAAGCGACATTAGTATCTCCATCTCAACAACACAAAATATTCTCTCATTCCTGTGTGTTATCTGATTATGATAACTGACATCTACTTTCATGTCGTTTAAGTAAGTTCCAAACAAGCTATGGGTTCAAGGTACCTATTCTGACAGAATCGAGATATGGTATATCCTGAAAACTTCCCACTTACCCTTATGTTCCAGCAGATGTAGTATCATGGTGGAGAAGGATTTGAATGTTTTCCCACAGGATGTGCAGCTGTGGCTGGTTCTCTGTTTGTTTAATGTACTGGTCCGAGTCTTCCTCAGTGTAACCTGCTCCTCATCACGTTCAGGAACAGCCTCTGCATCATCTGCATCATCAACTTCATCACCTTCTACATCATCTAATTCATCATCTGTATATTCCAAATCTTCCATCTCTTGAGAATCTATTCCTTCATTTTCTATTTCAATGTTTTGTTCCTCATCCTCTATATCAGAACCAGGTGGACTGCATGTAATTTCAAAACCTTCAAAGGTGACCGTGACATCGGGTTCCTCCCCCATATTGTCCACCTCTGCTCCTGTACAGATCCCACAGTGAATCTGATAGAGGCGATCGTTGGAGAAAGCTCTGTTACATTTGGGGCACTGATGGTCATGGGTTTTCATGTGTTCACGCAGCAATTCTTCGGACTTCCACTCCAACTGGCAGACATCACAAGGGTAGGTAACCAACGATATATATGATGACTCTATGTCAGAGGGCGTGAACATGCCATGCAGTGCCAGTTTATGTCTGTTGAGATCTGATGCTAACTTGTAGGATTTGTCACAAACATCACACCGGTGAAGTTTCTCATCCATGTGAGTCAACATGTGCTTCTGAAGGTAGTCAGATCGACCGAAACAGCTGCTACACAGCCTGCACTTGTAAGGTTTCTCACCAGTGTGAATACGGAGATGCTTCTTAAGCCCTGACTGATCAGACAAAATCTTTGGGCAGAATGGGCAGCGGGCGAACTTTTTCTTTGTTGGGAAGCGGGAAATCTTTTTCTTTGCAAAAACAGACTGGTCCTTTACTAGCCTATCCAATTCTTGCTGTTTCTGCATTTCTTTCTTGACTTGTCTGTCAATGCTAGCTCTCCTGATTGAAACAGCTTCAGTCTGTATGTCTCCTTTTTGTTTAGATTCATCAATCACATCTGTCTTCCCTGTCGGTGCATTGAGAACATGTTTGGCTACCTCAGGCAGGACTGATGTGTCAAGCTTCATGAGGGTATTTTTCAGTGCTATTTGCTGATACGTATCCTTCATCACAGGTGTCTTGGGAAAGACAAGAACCTGTTTGGAGTCTAGAGAGTAGGTATTACTTGATGATCGTGACTTGATTGACATCATGGCAATATCTTCTCGGCTCTTCCCCTCCTTGGCAGCCTTCGTAATGATATCATAAGCTTGTTGGTAATGATTCTTGTAGCGGCAACGGTTGTCCATTCCCTTATAGCAGTTTTCCGGTGTTCTGTTTCTTTCATGGTATCTCAGTCCTGTCGATGTTGTGAATCTCTTATCACAGATATCGCATTTATAAGGTTTTTCACCAGTGTGTGTCCGAACATGTGACTTTAAGTTGTCGGACTTCCCAAAAAACTTCCCACAATATAGACACTCATACTTCTTCTTACTCTTGTGAACTCTACGATGTACTTGTAGGTCAGCTGCGTACATGAAACCAAGGCCACATTCTATACACTCAAAGGGAGTCTCTTTGGGATGGAGGTTTTCATGTTTTCTCAAAGTCTCCTTAGTTGCAAATTTGAAATTACAAATACTACAAGAGTAATACGTCCCATTATGCTTCTCCATGTGACTGTCATACTCAGCACTGGGGAGAATTTTGCTGCAGTAATCACAGAATTTAAAGTCCTTCATTACATCTAAGTTCATACTTTCATCTCTGGAGGTGTCATCCAAAACCAGTTCCTCTTCCTGTGTGAAGGTATTAATCTCAGGATTCAATGCATCATAGATCTCACTGTCTGCCATTGCTTGGACATCATCCGGAACTTGTCCAGAACTGACACTGTCGAATGAAACCACAAAGTCATCACCAGTGTTGGAATCAGAATCTACTGGTTTAGTTTTTTCAGTCTTGACCTTAATTCCGTAAAAACTGGGCTTAGAACTCTTTCTGTTCCTCCTGCGACCCGACACGCCATCACTTACTAGTGTGTCATGTACAGCAGCTGGGGATGGATCGTTTATTTCTTTGTCAGAGCAACTTGAGGGAGCACTTGTGCCGGCCTTACCTGATGGTAGTATGAAAGCTGACTGGCTGTTACTCTTCTTCATCCGTTCAGCAATCTCCGCACACAGGGCAGCAGTTTCTGACTCTCCATTATGCTGCTCTGCTTCTGTTGGAGTCTGCATCGCAAGGATATCATCTGGTTCACCTGGTTCTGTTTTTATCTTAATCGCTGTTACAGGCTCGGGAGATGACTTTCTCTCCTCATGTCTCTTTACCATGGCAACAGTTTCCTGAATCATCTTTTCTTCACTTTCTACCTGACCTGGATCCTTCTCGGCCTCTTCTGGCTTGTGCACATGAGTCAAGTGGTACTTCAGCCCATTCATAGCTGTGAAAGTCTTCTGGCAGACGTTGCACTTGAAGGGCCTTTCACCGGGTGTGAGTTCGTTTATGGCTGAAAAAATGACTGTATCGCCTGAAACGCTTTGAGCAGATATCACATCGATATGGCTTCTCTCCAGTGTGAATCCTCATATGACGTTTTAACTGACTGTATGTTCTGTTGGTTTTGCCACATATTGAGCAGTTGAAAGGCTTTTCACCAGTGTGAACTTGCATATGCACAATCATCCGCTGCTCACTGGGGAATTCCTTCTTGCAATACTTGCAAACATGGTCGGTAGCTGGTTCTTCGGGTGGTGTGTCAGTACCTCCAGTAGCGGCATCATATAAGTAGGTGACAGTAGCACTTTCTGTATCATCACCAACATCAGTTGGTCCTCTCGGGGCTAACTTCATCGTCTCCATTAGCAGCAACATCACCAATATCAACGATTCTTACATCTAAATTCTCCATCTTATTGCTTAGACTACCACTGACATCTGTGCTCACTTTGTTCAGTTTCACATAGGAGTGTTTGCTTTTCATGTGAAACTTCAGCCTACTGCTGGTGATGAATCTCTTTGGGCAGTAATTACAAGAATAGGCGCGTTCTCCTGTATGGGTCTTCATGTGGATCGTCAAGTTGTACTTTCTCCAGAAAGTTCTTGCGCAATATCTACATGTATACCTGATAGGTTCAATCGTGTTTGAATGTTGCTCTAAATGAATCTCAAGTTCAGACACTGAATTGAAAGTCTTGTCACAAGATGGACAAGTAAATGCTGATGAGTCAGAAGGCAACTCATCATCATCAGACTCTTCATCCATCATGTCAGTTAAATCAGTGACATTTTCAGTAGTAACAAGCACTTGTCCTGCTGACAGAGACGTAGATGTTTCACTTCCCACAATACCTAATGACTGTTTTTCTGGAGATGCTTCAGATCCTACAGACAAAGCCTTCTTTTTCTTGATAGCTCGATGTTTCTTCATATGGCGTTCCAATACAGCTTCCTCTTCAAACATAGTGCCACAGACTTCACATTCCAAATTAACATCACTGCTTTGTTTTTCAACCTCAGTGATATCATCAGCTGTTAATATCATTGTAACTTCTGAATTATTTTCTGTTGTATTATGCTCAGATGTTTCAGTTTTTTCTGTCAAAGTTTCAGGAGGATCTACCTCATTAGAAGTCTCAACAATGTCCTCAAATATAGATGGGTCAATATCAGAAGAGCCATCTGCTAAGGAGGTCACACTGACAATCTTCAGAAAACCAGGTTCAAACGATTCACTTAGATTCTCCTTCTCTTTGGAGGCATGTGAGGCTGAACCCTTGTGGTGAACTTTGTTATGATATCGGAATCCAGTAGAGGTTGTAAAACGTTTACCACAATCCATACATTTGAACGGCTTCTCACCAGTATGTGTGCGCACATGAGCATGTAAGTTGTGTGCCTTTCCAAAACACTTCCCACAGTATTTGCAGAAATGAGGTTTCTGTGCTGAATGGGATAGCATGTGAGTCTTCAACTCCTCTGAAGTGCAGCATTCATGCCCGCACTCCTTACAAGCATATGGCTTCCAAGATGCAAACTTATTCATACTGTCCTCATCAGTGGAAGACTGGAACAACTTCAGGGTATGGTCAATCTCTTCAGCGCTATGAACTCTCATGTGACTCTTTAGAATGGACGGGTACTGAAATTTCTTCCCACAAATCATGCATTCAGTTCCCTCATTGTAAGACAGAGCTATCTGTTGCTTCTCAGCCATTGTCATAGAGGAGACATCTGTACTTGCATTGCCTGTCTCAGGACTTTTATCCCGACATTTGGCAGTGGAATCATCCTTTTCTTGTGGAGATTTACTTTCAGAGTTAATCAGCAGATTCATATACCCTGTTGGAGGGTGAACATAAATCAGTGTATCGCCATCCCAATCCTTCAGCTTGTTCGCTTCTTCAGGACCCTTTCCTCCAACTCTAATGCTACAGTTCTCTCCACTTCGTGTCCTTTCATGGTACCGAAGTCCTGTTGAAGTTGTAAACCGCTTACCACAAATTCCACACTTGTAAGGCTTCTCTCCAGTGTGTGTTCTGTAATGACTCCGATAGTGGTACACATTTCCAAAACCTTTACCACATACATCACACATGAAAGGCATCTCTCCTAGATGTGTCTTTAGGTGCTGTTGGAGGGCTCTTTCGGTGGAGGTCTCATGGTGGCAATGTCGACATACAAATGACCTCTTGAACTGGTGATTGACTCGATGCTTCTGGAGAAATTCCTCAGAGACAAACTGTCGATCACACTGGTCACAAGACAAAAGTGGTCCGTCTGAGATTTCAAAACTTTCACCATGAGCCTGTACAGAACTGTCCTTTTTTCTGTCTGGCTCACTCTCACTGGTGTCTGGAGTGGGATCATCATAGTCTGGATTGATGGAGATCTCTATGTCCATGGAAGCCTCTTTTTCATCAGCAGCATCTGATAAAACCTCCACTGCATCTGATGCCATGTTGTATCTTTCAGTTCCTTGTATGCAGACACTTATCTGCAAGGACTAGCTCAGACCAGCTGGTATATACAGCACCATTCCAGATCATCCATCAGTCTGAAAAACATGAACATATGGAAGAGTAAGTAATGTAAGAAAGTGATGAGGTTTATACATAACAGATCCTAAAACACAGAGGCAGGTGGCTACAAGGGCGACACAGTTGTCGATGGCCACAGAGTTACATCCCTTGGATGCATCAGAAACCTATGACTATAAGTAAGGATACAAATTATCCTAAAACACATTTTTAAATAGGGTTACAATTTTGGTTATGATTATCATGATTATAACTATATCAGCTTATACTCAAAACCTACAATCACTTCTATTTCTACTTAAACTGTGCCCTTACACACTTTGTTAGACTTGCCACAGTCTATAACTAGAGTGTTTCAAGAAAACATTTTGAAACTATCATTAAGAGCAAAGGGAATGTATATACACTGTAGGCTCAACATGTTTATGTCATAAAGGATAACTTAAATACTTACTTTTTAAGCGGAGATTAAATACCACATGAAAGCAGTGTTGAATAACCCTATTTTAAAACAATGACATAACCAACATGGCTCTGTCTACAGCAGTCACTCTGCTTAAAACTGAATCTGAATTATGTGTATAGTGAGTCAGTTAAAAGTGATAGTCACATGGGCAATATTTCATCAAGACTTAAATTTTTATGTACAACAGGATCACAAGGCAATGATCAAATGATCAACTGCAAAATGTAACATCACAGACCTTGTATTCACATGGTTTCAGAGATCAAGGAGATTCTGAGAGAAAATGGGCTGAGCACACCATACGTTGACTGTACCCTCACAATTGTCAAAAACCTGGTGAACTAAAATTCTTTAAAAATTTATTAGCATCAATGTAATGACTTGTCACTCTGATTGGTTTTATCAATTAAATAAATATTTGTATTCATTACACTATATTCATAAAACATCATATTCACCTCATTATGTATTTGTTGCAGCCCCAGTAAACCATGGGTACTTCAGACAAGACGCCTGACAGCATGGTCTAAGGGAGGTAATTTGTTCTCTTGCCATGTGCATAAATTACCTCCCCCTGAATATCTGGCCCTGTGTTGCCCATTGTTGATACTGTACGTTTAATATCAGTAGAAAGCAGGTTGTTTAAAAGGCAAGTCATGTCTGGAGATTGTCAATATTTTCAAAACTGTACGTATTTACTTAACCACTTTAATACATTAAATATATTGCCTTTTGATGTAAGTATGACTTTTACCACATCTTACATTGTCATAATTTTTATGTACTGACAATAGACATGTACCTTTATATTACCAAAATCATTGAGAATACGAGACATAAATGTGAGCTCATTAATATCCCTGACCGTGACTCCCTACTTCAGCTGAACACCAGTATTAAAGACATGTTGACACCTGACTCCAGGGACATGTAACGAATAACATCTCAGAGTTGTTTGTATCCACAGGGGGAAGTGGGGTAGCCCAGTGGTAAAAGCGTTTGCTCGTCACACCACAGACCCGGTTTCAATTCCCCACATGGGTACAATGTGTGAAGCACGTTTCAGGTGTTAACCAGACCCCATCCCCCGCCATCATACTGCTAAAAGCGGCGTAAAACTAAGCTCACTCACTCACTCCTATCTAAAACAAACTTAGGAACATTTTTACCAAACTGTGATGTTTTAGCCCTTTGATAAACAGCTGGGGACAGGCAAAATTTGAAGGGTCTCAGGAAAATATAGGGGTACAAACACTCAACACTGTACCTCAAATAATGTTCAAATCATAGGATTACCATGACATCGTAAGGCACAGACATATCTGATTTCTCTCACCCTTGCAGGTTAAACGTTTGTCATTTGCATCTTGTCTTTACGTCAAAAAGAGTTTTAATTTAGAACATATCAGCTCACAAGGAAACACGACACCATAATATAAATAGCCATTACCCTAATATAAAAACAACCCATTAAATGATTATAAAGTTATTGGTTGAACAAATTGTTAGTGATTATAAGAGCAGGTACATTATCGTGTAAATACAACAAATATGGCATGTTATCACATTGATAACGCACAGTGGTGATGATCATGATGATAGTGAGTGAGTTGGTGAGTTTAGGTTTACGCCGCGCTCAGCAATATTCCACCTATATGGCTGTGGTCTGTAAATAATCGAGTCTGGACCACACAATCCAGTGATCAACTGCATGAGCAGCGATCTACGCAATTGAGATGATGACATGTGTCAATCAAGTCAGTGAGCCTGACCACCCGATCCCGTTAGTCACATTTTACAACAAGCATGGGTTACTGAAGATCAATTCTAACCCGGATCATCATGGTTCCATGATGACAGTGACAATAGCTACCTGTATCCAAGTACTGAACTGAATGATAATATTATCAAAGAAATTGTGTGATATTTTTTACCTTGCTGATTACCTAAAAAACACCATAACAAAATCAAAATACACCAAGTCATTTGCAGTGTATGAAATAAGGCCGGTCCGACTGCCCGAAATGGTCTAGATTTCAGACGGACGGCCTAAATTTACAGGTAGCCAGCCCGATGGTCTGGTAAATTTTTTAGATGTTCCATACATCTGAGTAAATTGTACCATATTTGGTCTGGTTAAATCCATTTTGGGCTGGTAACATTTTGAAGTTACCAGCCCTGATGTCTGGCTGGATTTTTGGCTTATTTCATACACTGGTCATCTGTGCATAATATTAGGAAGACTAAATTGTACATCCATCCACTGAAACTGGCACTGCATTTGTCAGTAATAGTAATACATGTAGTAAACTGTACATACTATACAAAAATAGAAGAAAAATAATATCATGAAACATTTATTGCTTCAAAATATGGAAACATTATAATTGCTTGAAAGTTCCATATTGGTTGAACACTGATATTAAAGAGCATTTTCATCTCATCATTATCTAAGTATTTAACAAAAAGGGGTACGAAAAACACTAGACCTGTTACAATTCACATATTCAGTGAATCGAACCATATCCCTCCATGAATTCAATTTGTTATTCTCAATCACTGTAACTGAATATTCATTAATTTTTTTAAGGACTTTTTTTAACTTGAATTTGGGTGTTATTTATCACAGCTGGATATGCAAAATGGAATATATCCAAGCCAGGCAGGATAATAGACGACACTATTACATAGTCAATTCAACAATAATGTGGTGACAGGTCACTGTCATGGATAATTGACAGTGTCAACATGGTCAAAACATGTCAAAGAATATTTTGTTATTGTTTCGCTGAATGTAATGAATAACACAGCAACTGCTCATTTGTTAATCATATTCCTTACCCAATATTTGTGATATGTACCATAATCACCTCATCATTTCTGGTGTCCCCCGCCGTGATATTGCCGGTATATTGCTAAAAGTGGCGTAAAACTAAACTCACTCACTCACAGTGGATTCACTGCAGCAGAAAAGCACACACAATACATTCAAAAGACACGAAACTACAATTCACCACACAAACACATCTAGAGCTAATAACAGAAAATATTGTCATCACTTATGGACTTGCAACAGGCTTCTTTGACACAAAGCTGTAATTTTCCTTGCACATTTCAAAACAGCTTCATTTATGGAAAATACCTGATCAGATTCCTTGTATGCATGTTTTTATACTGAAACTATTCAATGATCAACTATAAAAGTGAATAACCGCACCTAGTTTCATAATCACACTGCAAGCCATGTATCACACCAGTGTGAGTGAGTTTAGTTTTACGCCACTTTTAGCAGTATTCCAGCAATATCATGGCAGGGGACACCAGAAACGGGCTTCACACATTGTATCCATGTGGGGAATCAAACCTGGGTCTTCAGTATGATGAGCAAATGCTTTAACCAGTTGGCTACCCAACTGCCCCCTATCTGTAAAATATATCATACACTTCTGCCATTACTACAGATCCAGTGTGTTATTTGATAATAATGAAAACTTCATTGTTTATGAATTATTTTTTTTATAATAATGTATTTCCATGATTATTTTCATATTAAGAAAAAATCATAATATTGTATTAAATTATTCAAACAGTTATTTATAGACGACAGTATTTTTTGCAGTGGAAATTTAGGAAATTGAAAATAAAAATAAATACATGCTGTGATATATGACAAGATTACCTTAAATTTCTAACAAAAGTTAATAATATGGTTAGGAATATACAAATGTTAGCGTTGATTCATTGATTCAGTGATTAAAATATTTAAATATATTTACATATTTTGTATTTCAGTGATTATAACTGCCTGAGAAATCTACAGTTTGCCATGGTAAGTAAATCTGTTGATACTGAACAAAGGGCGTCTACATACGGAAATAAATCAATGTGACCTATATATACTTTGCCAGCCGAGCGAGCATTTACTTCGTTTCATACAAATGCCGGCAACAATTCCGTGAAACCCGCCTCGTCCTCGCCAAAAATTTTTGGAGACAAGAATCAATAATCTTATTCTGAATCTCTTGAATCAGCTACAAGGGTGAGAGTTGTCCATACAACTTCATATTCACAACATCATTCATTTCTGTCACGGCTCAGTATAGAACAGTAACCCAACACAGCGTCGGGAAAACCCGCCTCGTCTCCTTCACCAAATTTCCGCACACGAAATTTCGGAAGACATGTTTGATGACGCGAGGCGAGAGGGACGACTGTTCGATGAACATTTTACAATATCGGAGACAACTGAGTGATATTTCAGTAACTACAAGCATATTCAGGCATAAATCTTACCAGTTCCTGATATGCACGCTTGACTGATCCTTGTAAACATGTCCCGAATTTCAGTGCAAGACTACGCGAAGCCGGAAAACTCTAGGCCGAGGGCTATTCGGTACAATTTACTGTACAGGCTGAGCTGAAACGAAAATAGATTTCGCTGGATTTTTAGCATAGAAGCAGGCATGCCGACTTTGGGTTTTTAGATCAATGTAATTATTTTAGGATTTTTAGCTCGGATGCCGAATGTTCTGAATGCGGCTGAGGCATTTTAATGATCGATACAAACCGTGGAAGAGGTGGTATAATGTTGTCGTTTCTAAAAAGCACGAGTCAAAATATTAAATTGACGAGTGGAGGGAGACCTTGGTGGTACTGTGAAATTGATTTTCTCTTTATTGGTAGGGGACTAATTGTTGATGCAGCATATAGGAGATGTATTGCAGTTCAGTTATAAACAATGCATGTGATGCAAATCTATGCACTTATACACGCTTGGGCACACTGTAGTGCGTGTGTGTTGCCAAACCTATGAACCATTCACATGCATTTCTTCAACAATATGCGGTGGTTTTTAAAGCTTGATTGGTTAATGTAAGGCATCAGCTAAGAGCCTAAGAATGCTTTATGTATCGTGATTTTTATGTTATTTTCAGCAGTACATGTGAGTTGGATATGATGTATGTGTGTGTTTTCATGCTACGGACCAGTTACAAATCTAGTCCAAATGCCATCGTTACCTGGTTTTGAAAAATAGTTACACAAGTAACCTGTTCAATTCTCTTTATCAAGAACATTACACTTACCACACTATGGCGAGTTTGTTACTCCTGTAGGCCTATTGGAGAGTTGACTTAAACCTGCACGTCACATTGAATAATTATTCACATTCTTACTTGCATGAAGCATGTAGCAGGTGCTTATAATGTAGATGTTACTCCGACCAAAATAGAGTCCCACAGTTCTACCTACTCCTATCTATTCTATACGGCTGAGGTGGCAGGTACTTGCAGCCCCACAGTACAGAATCGCAAGTGTAGCAAAACCCACCGACGTCATATAGCCGGTATACATAGCTTCTTACACATTATTCATTAGTTATTTGAGGTGTATTGGATGGTGATAACTTGCTGGAACATGTGGAATTATTGTCGATATTTCAGATAAAGAATTCACAAAGGACACACAACCCAAGTGACTGTCTGTATGACCCATTCGTCAGCTCTCATGTTATCAAGGTTATGAGTGAGTGAATGCATTTGTGCCGTTTTAAGCGAAATTCCAGCATGTGGCGTTCACCAACTTGGAGTCGAAAGCCGGTCATGACCAATTTAAACCACAAAAATCCACCCCGGTAGGTTCGAATTACTCATTTTGCCAGATTACGTTTCAAGGTATGAGGGTCCATTTTCATTCTCGTGGGTTTCAACGAAATGTATAGCGATATTCCAGCCTCTCACGGCAAGGCCTTTAACAGGGTAATCGACCCCGAGTCATCAGTGAGCGGAGAGCCCAATTTAGACCAGAGATATCCACCCCGCATAGGGGCGATGGGGTAGCTCAGTGGTTAAAGCGTTGGCTCCTAACGCCGAAGACCCGGATTCGATTCCCAACTTGCGTACAATGTGTGAAGCCCATTTCTGGTGTCCCCCGCTGTGATATTGCTGCAAAATTCCCCAAACCGGCGTAAAAACATACTCACTCACTCCACCACGCATATGTAAACCGACGATGGTAGGTTCGAATCTCAGAATGGATCTGGATATGCTCGTGGGTTCCACCAAAGTGGTAAACATCTGAGACCTGCATCAGGTCGGACTTGTCTCGTACATCAAGATGACACACCTCTCATAGATCAAACCTGTGCAGCAATGCAGTTATCCAACCAATCGGAATCGAAAGCCAACCGTTATAATATAGGAAGTTTCTTTTTCCACGAAATGTGTATACAAATAGTAAAAGTCGAGTTCATAAGAGCAATATACTCACCAAATCCATTTTTACCGAAGACTATAGAACTGCACGGCAATACCGAAATACGTGTATATAACAATACGCTTTTCAAACGATATATACGTATTGCACTATTTTTGTCTGAGCACCGGTATACGAGTAAAGAAAATATATGAAGTTTTTTTTATTATCTTTATGGTTTAAATTAAAATCTACACATACCATTCACAACAAATGTTTTCCTTCGTTATTCAATACAGCAATACTATAATTTCATAATTGTATAAAATAGAGAATCCATGACTGCAACCTAATTTTGGGATTGCTGTTATCAGAACCATAACATATATGTGTAGGGACGTATATAAAGTAGAAAATAGGATTGACGTACACAATTAGTGTCACTCCTTTCACACACTTAAGTTCCCAATATATTGCAATACGGGTACCTGAATCGCAATATATTGCAATACAATTTATTTGACAATACACAGCCTTATCGAAGACAAAATATCTGTCACAGCATATGGTGTAGGGGCGGTGCGGTAGCCTAATGATTAAAGCGTTCGCTCGTCAGGCCGAGGACACGGGTTCGATTCCCCACATGGGTACATTGCTTGAAGCTCATTTCTGCTATTCTGATATTACTGGAATATTGCTAACAGCTGCGTAAAACCACACTCACTCACAGCATATGGTGTAACATCAGAGCTTCAACAGGTGAAATGAATGTCTTTAATATTCCCAAACGAGTCAGTTGTGTACTTCTGGCGCTTCTAATCTGTGAGTATAGTTTCATTCTTTTTTAATCTTAGGTGTTGGTTTGAAGATGAAGGAAATACACTGCAACCACTTCGGGTTTTTCCCCGACGAAACTTTTGGTCTTTGGAAACAATCCAATTTACATTATTCAGTTTATGGAAAAATACTTTTCTCTGACTGAAATGAACCACGCGAGGTTTCATCTGTATCGATACGCAATAGTCACAGTTTGAAAAATATTCAAGAAAATGATATTTTACTCTGTTATGTTTTTTTGTTTGTTTGTTGTTTGACGGCACACTCAGCAATAATACAGCTATATAGGCGGTCAGTAAATAATCGAGACTGGATCAGATAATCCAGTGATAAATTGGGAGACGATGCCAAATGTCAACCAAGCCACTCGATCCCATTACCCGCCTCTTAGGGCAAGCATGGGTTGCTGAATGTGTTTTGTATAGTCATTGGTGTGAGTCCAAGTGTTAAAATGTAGTGGGTGTCCTGCGAGGTATTGGACACCTGGGTGATGTATTGGATTCGGACGAAAAACATTGTTTGTTAGCTGTTAAGAGATATATCCCTCCAGATAAACCACCGATTAACGACTTGAATTGCACCTGCAAACACGTGGACAGAGCTATGTTCCTTGAGCACACCATAAACCCATGACTGTCGTTTCCAGTCCTCTTGTGCTGGATCCTGCTTCCTGCTTTGAAAGCACCATGCCTCTGTTCATGTTTCAACGATCTGGTAATCTGAGACGTGCGAAACTTCTTACATGGTCGAGGTGATGGCCTAGTGGTTAAAGCGTTCGCTCGTCACGCTGAAGGCCCGAGATCGATTCGATTGGATTTCGATTCTCTCCATGGGTACAATGTGTGAAGCCCATTTCTGGTGCACCCCGCCGTGACATTGCTGGAATATTGCTAAAAGTGGCGTAAAGACTCAATCATTCATTCTTACAGCTGACGTGTTGTGATAGATGACCATTCAAAACAGTGTTAAACACATTTCACCCACTCATCATCATCATCATTTTTAACAAGATATATTGCTGTGGGATGAAAATTATCTTTCATTTTTAGGCCAGTCCACTTGTATTTCTTGTTTTACGGATCCGCCGGTCGTATGTTTTCAAGAACAAGAAAAAAATAATAATTAATTTTCCCCGCTCCAAAAATATAATCCTAATGTTTTTATTGTCCAAAATGTAAACCCACAAACAAATACATTTTTAGATTTTTGTTTGATTGAGTCATATACACTTCATAAAGTGCCAAAAGTAAAATACTTTTAGTATTCAAAAGGAATATTACTTTGACTGGTGATTTTATGAAAAAAAAAATCCCCTCTTGCCTTAAGGTTTTCTGAGGACAAAAATCTGTAAAACAAGAAATAAAATTGTTCTGGCCTTAGGTCATAAATCAATGACATTTCTAATCACTGATTCAGAAAAATACTCTTATCACATTGCCATTAATTGTTGAAATATGTATGTCCAACTTATATTTTCTGGTGTTAGACAATACAGTACTATAATGCTCCATGAGAACAATGACTTTAATCATCCAGAAATGCACACAAGAAACATAATACCTTAGGTTCAAACGTTACCGAATGTTCAAATAAAAAGACAAACTCAATATAACTTGTTTTCTCTGTTATATTATCTTTACATACTTACAATGTCTCAACATGATACAATGATCATCAACATCTGTCTGCCTTTTTTTTTTAACAGACAGCTTATAACATGCTGTGTGCTTTGTGGTGATATTGAAGTCATAGTTATGAGGTTCTTTGATAGTGATAATGCCATACAGACATACTGCGACTGCTTTTTGGAAGTCTCAGACAAAAAGCAGTCAATGATCACCCCCACACTTATCCCTTCTAGGTTCCTCTTTGGTGATGCGAACATGTCTCTCTGCTGTGTTGAGGTCTGGAAACAGCCTGAACATCTTGTGACACTTCCTGCATTTGTACACCCCACCACCGAAATGTTCGTTGCAGTGGGACTTTATCAGCTTGTATGTCTCCAAGAAATTGTCACATGGGTTGAACCTGACATGAACTGATTTGTTTGCAGGACTGTTGTATTCAAATGCTGTGTTCTTGGAGTACTGTGTTGAATGGATGTGATTTTTGGAGTGTTGTGATTTGCCTTGTTTTCCACCAGCTTTGGAATGAAACACCTTTGTATCTGCATAGTTGACAGGGAAATATCTGTGGTCCTGTGAACCATTAGAGAACATTATTACATGTTTTGCTAGCATTATTCAGAAAGATTATTGAAACGTTAAGGTGATTTTTGCAGGAGCAGCAGAACTTTTTACTACTAGTTTCCCTTCACCCATTCACCTCTAAAGCTTTGTTTCAGAAATGACATCACTGTTGCCATCTCACTCATCATCTGATCAAACAGCCTGTTACATTTGTGCCTTCTGTTCCTTTTAGTTTTACAGTTCTAAATAAATACAAAATGGGTTTAAATATTAGGGCTGTGCAATATTACCGGTAAACCAGTATATACTGGTACAGTATCTTGCGATATGGCTCAGATTCACCAATATATTGGTCATCCAGAGTTAGCTCCCTTTGAATTATCTGCCCTTTATTTCCATAGCAACAAAATTTGCTCTAAAAGTGGAAGGGACCTCAAATGCACCAATCTTTTGAGAGAAGCACGAGTTATGAATGTCAACTTTTTGTTGTGAAGGATCAAGCATACACTGCGAAACTCGTGTTATTCACAATAAAGAAGTCGACATCCACAAATCTTACTTTTCATATGCATTCCACTTCTAAATGCCCTTCTAAGATTTGACCAATCTTTCATTTGGACTTATAAGTAGAGCCTCTTGCTCTGAGTGATCATTTCACATTACTTTGTTCTTTTTGTTTGTTTCATAATGGGATATATACTAGCCACATAAAGAAACTGTGCACACAGAAAATTCCTTCAGAATTGGAATACAACACAGAAAAGATGACTTGATGTAGACACTTAATAAGCTGAAGTATCGGGCCTCAACAACATGTCAAAAGAACATGAACAATATCAGTAACGATGACATCAGAAGTACAAAATTGAGTCGGGGGTCACACGTCGAAGTCACAAAGTCAATAACGGGTATGACCATCATGCGCCTGAAGCACAGCAGTGCATCGATGACGCTTAGAGGCTACCAAATTTTCCAAATGAAGGCCTGGGGAATGGTTTGGGACGTGGTCACTGCCGTCTGGAACCTGTGTCTGATATGAGTCACCCGAATCCATCTGTCCTGTCTTGGCGTCGTTACTCGGGGACGCCCAGAACGTGGGTGGTAGGCGACGTCATTACTGGTTCCCTAACGCCTGACCAATGCAGATATCGTGTTACTATGGCATTGGAAATGTGCTGCCATCTGTTGTTGGCTCATGCCTGCTCGAACCATTCCAATGGCTTCATGACGTTGAGCACATGTTAATCTTGGCATGATGTGCATGTGACTTTTCATGTGAATTTGTGAACGTTTGAATGACCAAGGTCAAGCTTTCGACAGTGACATCAATTTCTGAGTTTCACATGTTGCAGCTGCACAGGCTGCACGTGCAGTAACACATTGCAAGTCCATAGGCCACCATCAATGACGTCACGTCGCCTGGCACCTGCATGAGCGTTTGATTGTCTCCAATACTTGCTATGTTCACACCTTTATTTATGCATAAAGACGCTGTCTGCCTATCTTTATATTTTCTGTGTGCACAGTTTCTTTATGTGGCCAGTATATGTTATCATAAAGACCAGAGTCTTATAAATTTTGTAGGACTGTATAATGACATTCTAGTCAAGGATCTTAGTTACTGGAGGTGACATGAGATTTTAAGCTCCAGGAGTTCACCTAAATCATGTTTTTGTTTCATTTTGCAATAGTTCATGTTAACACATGTTAATACTGGCTGACTGACTGAGTTTGGTTTTACGCCGCTTTTAGCAATATTCCAGCAACATCACGGCGAGGGACACCAGAAATGGGCTTCACACATTGTTAATACTGGAGTTGAATCTGAATGAATCGAGAGTTGTTATGAATTTATGATGTACGCACTTGGACAGAAACATTCCAGTCAATATATCCCAATATGTATTGCAATATCTCTTAAATTATTGCAATATATCGCGATATGAGAATCAGGGCAATAACCAGCCCTACTAAATATCTAAATGAATGATAAATGAATTTATCATGAAAGCATGAAAATTTATATGCCCTCAAGTCTTGACACTTACCCTCATATTCCAGCAAATGCAGTATGATAGAAGAGGAGGAATATCTCCCACTGTAAGTGTAGCTGTGGTTTGACTTCTGCTTGTTCTCAGAGCCATACTTCACCAGATTAGCCTGCTCCCCCAGTATCAGTATCAACCTCTGCACGCCTGCATCATCAACTGCTTGACCTATCACATCATCTGTATCATGAAATCTTCCATCTCTTAAGCATGTAGAGGTTAATTTTCTATGTTTTGTTCCTTATCCTCAATATCAGAACCAGGTGGACTGCATGTAATTTCAAAACCTTCAAAGGTGACCGTGACATCGGGTTCCTCCCCCATATTGTCCACCTCTGCTCCTGTACAGATCCCACAGTGAATGTGATAGAGGCGATCATTGGAGAAAGCTCTGTTACATTTGGGGCACTGATGGTCATGGGTTCTCATGTGTTCATGCAGTGATTCCTCGGACTTCCACTCCAACTGGCAGACATCACATGGGTAGGTAACCAATGGTACACAAGATGACTCTTGTTCAGAAGCTGTGGGATGCAGATCAAGTTTGTGTCGTTCGAGATCTGAAGCTAAGTTGTACCATTTGTCACAAATATCACACCAGTGCAGCTGATCCATATGACTCTTCATGTGGTAATGATGGGAATCAGAATTTACGAAACGCCTTTCACAGACCTTACATTCATAAGGCGTTTTCTTCTTCAAAGTGACCTTATGAACCAAAGTTTTTTGGACTGACTGCCCCAGCCAATGCTTCAGGCTGAATATCATCCTTCTGTTCAGATCCATCAGTCATCTGTTTCTCCCCTATGGGTACATGAAGAACATGTTTGGCTACATCCCTCAGCACTAATGGGTCAAACTTCATGAGTGTTTTGTTTGATGCTATTTGTGGATATCCATGCTTCATCACAGGTGTCTTGGGAAAGACAAGAACCTGTCTTGAGTCACAGTAGACATTGTCTGATGTTCGACTTGCCTGACACCAGCTCCTTATCTTCTCGGTTCTTCCAATCCTTGGCAATATCCTCTTGACTCTTCCGATTCTTGGCAATATCATCTTGACTCTTCCGATCCTTGGCAATATTGTCTTGGCTCTTCACTTCCTTGGCAATATCTTCTCTGACCTCCATTGAAGGATATGTCATGATTTGAGCCTTTTCATATTGGGGTTTGTAACAGTAATGGTAGCAGTTTTCTGTTTCTCTGTTCCTTTTATGGTATGTTAGTTCAGTTGATGTTGTGAAACTCCTATAACAGACTTTGCATTTATAATGTTTTTCACCCGAGTGGGTCTGAAAATGTGATATTAAGTTGTCTGACTTCCCAAAACACTTGCCACAATTATGACATTCATATTGATTGTCACTCTTGTTAACTTGACAATGTTCTTCCAAGTCTGTTTTATACATAAAACCAAGGCCACATTCTATGCACACAAATGGAGTATCTTTGGGATGAAGGTTCTTATGTTCTTTAAATGTCTCCTTAGTGGGAAATTTGGAATTACAAATACTACATAAGTAATACGGCTGATTATCATGCATTATATCTATCATTTTACCGACCATATTTTCATCCCCGGATTTGGTGTCCAACATCAGTTTCTTTCTAATGGTGGAGCTGTTCATTTTGGGATCCAAGGTATCACAGATCTCAATGTCTGATATTGCTTGGGCATCATCTGGAATATTTCCAGAACTAACTCTGTCTAATGAAATCACTTGGTCATCATAAGTGCTGGAACCAGACTCTGCATATATAGTCTTTTCACTGTTTTGGGTCTTGACATTAATTTGGTGACAGTTCTGTTTAGAATCATTCTTGTTCCTCCTCTGATCACTTATATTCTGTTCTTGTTCAGTGGCTGTAGATGGGCCATTTATCGCACTGTCAGAACTACTTGGGGGATAGCTTTCCATACTGGCTTTACCTGATAGTAGTATGTAAGCTGACTGGCTGTTACTCTTCTTAATCTGTCCAGCGATTTTGGAATACAGGGCAACAGTCTCCAACCCTCCATCTTGCTGTTCTGCATCTGTAAAAGTCTGCATCGCTAGAGTTTCATCTGTGTCATGACGCTTTGCCTTTAACCTACCACTACCAGCTTCCAGAGTAGAGTTCCTGTGAGAATCCTGAGATAACTTACTTAGTTTCCTCGAGTTGACTTCATCATCAGAGACACTTTCGTCTGAATCCTGAATTCTCTTCCGTAGATTACCACTAGTAGCACTGCTAACATCCAGACTCACATAGGAGTGTTTGCTTTTTACATGAAACTTGAGCCTACTGCTGGTGATGAAGCTCTTTAGGCAGTGATCACAAGAATAGGCACGGTCTCCGGTATGGGTCTTCATGTGGATCTTCCAGTTGTACTTCCTCCAGAAGGTTTTTGCACAAAAATGACAGAAGTAGTCACGTTCTCCTGTATGTGTCTTCATGTGGATCTGCCAGTTGTATTTTTTCTTGAAAGTTCTTGTACAAAATTTACATGTGTATGATGAAAGTGCAAGCACATTAGAATGTGCTTTGAAGTGAGTCTCCGGCTCAAATGCTGAACTCAAAGTACTTTGATGTTCCTCTGCTGAATGGGATAGCATGTGAGTCTTCAACTCTTCTGAAGTGCAGTATTCATGTCCGCACTCCCTACAAGTATATGGCTCCCAAGATGCCAACAAACTCAAACTCTCATCATCGGTAGAAGACTGGAACATCTTTAGGATATCATCAATCTCTTCAGCACTATGAGCTCTCAAGTGACTGTCTAGTATAAACTGGTACTGAAATTTCTTTCCACAAATCATGCATTCATTTTCCTCATTGTAAGATAGGGGTATCTGTTTCCTCGTGGCCATTTTCCCAGAAACATCTGTACTTGCATTGTTTATCTCTGGGCTTTTATCCCGAGATTTGGCAGTGGAATCATCCTTTTCTTGTGGAGATTTACTTTCAGCATGTTCAGAGTTAATCAGCATATTCATATACCCTGTTGGAGGGTGAACATCACCATCCCAATCCTTCAGCTTGTTCGCTTCTTCAGGACCCTTTCCTCCAACTCTAATGCTACAGTGCTCTCCACTTCGTGTCCTTTCATGGTATCGAAGTCCTGATGAATTTGTAAACCGCTTACCACAAATTCCACACTTGTAAGGCTTCTCTCCAGTGTGTGTTCTGTAATGACTCTGATAGTTGTACTCATTTCCAAAACCTTTACCACATACATCACACATGAAAGGCATCTCTCCTAGATGTGTCCTTAGATGCTGTTGGAGGGCTCTTTCAGTGGAGGTCTCATAGTAGCAATGTCGACATTCAAATGACCTCTTGAACTGGTGATTGATTTTACCCTGAGATTTGGTCGTGAAGGCATCTTGTGGAGATTTACTTTCAGAATTACTTAGCAGATTCATGTAACCAGCAGAAGGGTGAACATTAATGATTGTCTCTCCATCCAAATCCTTAATTCTGTTTGTTTTATTAGGATTCCTTCCTCTACAATTTCCTCCACTGTGTTTACATTCATGGCATTGAAGCTGTGAAGAGTATGCAAACAGTTTATCACAAATTCTACACTTGTAAGGCATCTCTATTTTGTGTTTAGTGTACCCTTTCTATAACCCCTCAGTTCACACATATAACGCTGTTCCCCAGAATGTGTCTTCAAATGCTGCATGAGGCCTCTTTCAGAGGTGTCATGTTGACAGTTTTGACACACAAATGATGCGCGATTTAAATGGTAGTTGACTGGATGTATTGGGTAAAAGCACCACAGAAACAAATTGTTGATCACTGAGGTCACAAGAAAATGAAGATCATCTGAGATTTGAATTTTTTTATGAGGAGCTGGAGCTAATTTCTCTGTTTTTCTGTCTGCCTCGTTCTTGCTGAAGTCTGATTTAAACACCACCACATCTAATGCCATAGTCTATTTTTCGGTTCTTTATACATCAAGATTCTAGCAGAAGGACTACCTCAGATCAGCTGCCATATTCCAGATCATCCATCAGTCTGAAAATATGAACATTTGGAAGAGTAAGTAAAGGATAAGAATGTTTGGGGTTTATTAAAAATAGATCATATAATACAATTTCTGGGTCCTCACAACCCCTTTCCTCTCAAAAGAGTCATTTGTGCATTGTAATGAGTCATAATTCTATCATAAAGGGGTCATTTGTGCATTGTAATGAGTCATAATTCTATCATAAAAGAGTCATTTGTGCATTGTAAGGAGTCATAATTCTATCATAAAAGGGTCATTTGTGCATTGTAAGGAGTCATTGTAATGAGTCATAATTCTATCATAAAGAGTCATTTGTGCATTGTAATGAGTCATAATTCTATCATAAAAGGGGTCATTTGTGCATTGTAAATTCTATCATAAAGGGGTCATTTGTGCATTGTAATGAGTCATAATTCTATCATAAAGGAATAATTCTATCATAAAAGAGTCATTTGTGGTAAGAGTCATAATTCTATCATCATTGTAATGGATTTGTCATAATTCTATCATAAAAGGGTCATTTGTACATTGTAAGGAGTCATAATTCTATCATAAAAGAGTCATTTGTGCATTGTAATGAGTCATAATTCTATCACAAAGGGGTCATTTGTGCATTGTAAGGAGTCATAATTCTATCATAAAAGAGTCATTTGTGCATTGTAATGAGTCATAATTCTATCATAAAGGGGCCATTTGTGCATTGTAACAAGTCATAATTCTATCATAAAGGGGTCATTTGTGCATTGTAAGGAGTCATAATTCTATCATAAAAGAGTCATTTGGGCATTGTAAGGAGTCATAATTCTATCATAAAAGAGTCATTTGTGCATTGTAAGGAGTCATAATTCTATCATAAAAGAGTCATTTGTGCATTGTAAGGAGTCATAATTCTATCATAAAAGAGTCATTTGTGCATTGTAATGAGTCATAATTCTATCATAAAAGAGTCATTTGGGCATAGTAAGGAGTCATAATTCTATCATGAAAGAGTCATTTGTACATTGTAACGAGTCATAATTCTATCATGAAAGAGTCATTTTCTATCATAAAGCATTTTGCATTGTAATGAGTCATAATTCTATCATAAAGGGGTCATTTGTGCATTGTAATGAGTCATAATTCTATCATAAAAGAGTCATTTGTGCATTGTAAGGAGTCATAATTCTATCATAAAAGAGTCATTTGTGCATTGTAAGGAGTCATAATTCTATCATAAAAGAGTCATTTGGGCATAGTAAGGAGTCATAATTCTATCATGAAAGAGTCATTTGTGCATTGTAAGGAGTCATAATTCTATCATAAAGGGGTCATTTGTGCATTGTAATGAGTCATTATTCTATCATAAAGCGGTCATTTGTACATTGTAAGGAGTCATGTTTCTTGAAAGAATCAACCCATACCATGAATGCAAACAATTACTGTTTGCTACAGATGGCTTCCAAGCACTGTCTCATGTACATGTATTTTTATTATATACGGAACATCATTGTAAACGCACCTGTCTAAAATTGTCCATATTTTCATCAAGATGGATTTCAGCATGACAATGATCAATGAATATAACTAACATGAAGTCGAAGGGCATGTCCAGTTGAAAAAATGCTTTAGAAACAAGTTCCTGTCCACAGTATGACTCTTAATTCCAAAATGCATCAACATGCAGCCACGCCATGAAAAAAGCGTGAATTTCATTTCAGACAGTGACATTAAAAGCAGGTGTATGAGAACCGATTCTCATTGCTTCACTAATGATTGTGAAACGAGGACAGAGATGCCAAGGTTAACACCTCACGAAAGAGAACGTGCACTAGGCATGTTTCAGGTTAGCACCAGCAGCAGGGATATTGCTCGACAACTTGGACTTGGCCACTCCACCATCGTTAGGCTTCATAGACAACATCAGTAGACAGGCAGCACCCGTGACCTTCAATGACCTTGGCAACAACATGTTACGATGCTCCATCAGGTTCGCCATATTGACCTTGTTCATATCAGTGATTGAACACTGCAGACTGCCAGGACTGCTGCACTAGTTCAAGGTTGTCGTGGGGCTCATCAGCGCTGACCCCATGCGATGCTGTCTACACGCTACAGGGCTCCATGCTCGATGTCCTTACGTTGGACCAATTCTGACCGACAGACATCGTAATGAGCGTATACAATGGGCTAGCATGCATTTTCAGTAAAGGTTACAACAATGGCATGGTGTGGTAGTCACTGACGAGTCACGTCTTCATCTACGTCATGCTGACAGGCGATTACTTGTTTGGCGTAGACGTGGTGAACGTTATGCTGATGAGTGTGTGGTTCACACAGACCTTTGGGTGGTGGGAGTGTCATGGTCTGGGGTGGAATAAATTAAAATCACAGGACTGCCTTCATGTCTGTCAAGGGAAAGTTAATGCCCTTTATTTCCGTGAGCAGATTCTTCACAATCACATCGTATCTGTCTTCAATCACCACCAAGATGTCCATACTTTTCAACAGGACAACGCACGGGCACACGCAACAAGACTTTCCATGTAGTATCTGGCCCAGCAACACATCCAGGTTATTCATTGGCCAGCAGAATCGCCAGATGTATCACCCATGGAGCACTTGTGGGATGAAATTGGTCAAAGTCTTTCGTGGCGACAACAGATGCCGAAAACATCCGGGAACTTGAGGCTGCACTACTGCAGAAGTGGAATGCCATCCTCAAGAACTCTATTCGGACGCTTATTGACTCAAGGAGACGTTGAACTGCATGTGTCAATGCAAATGGCGGTCACACGCGATATTGACTTTTCGATTTGACCCCACATGTGTTTGATCCTTTCTGACTGTTGAACATTTCAATGAATGAGCGTCTTTTCTGTGTTGTTGTTTTTGTCAGTCGTCCATCTGTTATTATCCACTCAAAAAATATCAATTTCTTACACGTGCTTTTAATAATCTTAACTTTTATAAGTGTTGCGTTTTCAATGATGTTCAGTATATATACGAACTGCAGTGTTTAATTCAAAAGATATTATTCTGATAGTATTAGTGTTGGGAATCGGAAACCAAATCCACTATTGATTATCGGAGGACTTGTGGTGAACGATTATCAACTATAATCGAAATATATACATTTTTAATGTAATCACCAATTTTAAGGGTTTTCCCCAGGTTTTTCTAATAAATGTTTTTTTATAACTAATACTGTCATGCAATGAAATTACTCGCAAGTAAGACACTAGAATTGTAATTAAACAATAAAAGTGGTTAAAACTTTAAAATATGCATAGCTTTTACGCTGTTGAGCGCATGTTTGTTCGTGAATATTCATCAAATTAAATGGTTAGTATATTTAATTCAAGGGTGTTATACAAAAACAACAAAATTCCGATTAATCAAAAATATTTTTTTTACAATCGATAATCATTTTTAATCCTTCTTTCGATCAATTTTCGAGAATCGGAACACCACTAGATAGTATCCTACAAAGTATGTTTATATTGAGTCACTAATGATACAAATGAAAAGACTTAATCATGATAATGTGATAATCTTATAACTGATTGTTGGGAGATAGTCTTTTGATGAATATAGGGTCATCTGGCACCATGACTGACTGAGTTTGGTTTTATGCCGCTTTTTTTTAGCAATATTCCAGCAATATCACGGCGGGGGACACCAGGAATGGGCTTCACACATTGTGCCCATGTAGGGAATCGAACCTGGGCCTGTTAAGTTGAGAGCAGTGTCGTTCACTGGCGAACACTTTAGCTCCTAATATATCACAATATGTACATCAATATGTGTACCAGAGTTGCAATATATTGCAATGCAATTTATTTGCCTACACACAGCCCTACCAAAAAAGTTAATTATCTAGATTCTCCGAAAGTAACTGATCAGATTCCAAAGAGCTACTATGCTACAGTGTTTATTCTTGCACCATATGCCCAGGGTCAACTACAAGAAATTCTCTGTACTTGAATGCAGTCATAAATGAAAATTTCAGAATTGTTTCTCTTGCAACAAGAGTAGCTACAGTGTCACTGGATTGTTTGGTCTGCTATCACTGGCTTGTTTAGTCTTCACTTGATTGTGAACACGCTATGCAAATCACAGAGATTAATACATAAAGTATGCTGAGGAACTGTGGGTACATATTTGTCAGGATTGAGAGAATGAGTTTAGTCTTACACCGCACTCAGCAATATTCCAACCATATGGTGGCGGTCTGTAAATATTTGAGTATGGACCATACAATCCAGTAATCAACAGCATGAGTATCGATCTACGCAATTGGGAACCGATGACATGTGTCAACCAAGTCAGCGAGCCTGACAACCCAATTCCGTTAGTCGTCTCTTTTAAGAGACGACAAGCATGGGTTACTGAAGATCAATATTCTAACCTAGACCTTCAAGGGTGCATATTTGTCAGGAAGAACTACAGTAGCAGGGCTCCAGATAAGGGCCGTATCGGCCTATGTACGGATAGAAAATATGCACGATACAGTAGGAAATAATTTAGAAAACGTAGCACATATGCACCACAGCAGTGCTGTACGGTCTTAGAGTTATTTACAGACGTATTTATCTGAAAAAGTATTGTTTTTTGTTTATTGATCTGTTTACACAAGAGTAGCAATGTTGTGGTGCATATATGAAATGAAACACAAGATTACTGATCCGCCATTAAATTCCATTCAGTACTCTAAATGTACTCTTAAGTTTTTCCAGTACTCCTATATTGAAACAAGAAGGAATAAGTACTCCAGATGTTGAAAAATTATCTGGAGCCCTGCAGTAGTGTAAAGATGTTGGAAATAACTTCCTGTGACAATTTAAATAAATTAACATGCAAATTAACTGTAAATCATAGGTACCCATGCAAATTGAAATTTATGTCAACCCTGCCCTCCCCAACTCCTCTCCCCAAGTAGATTTACTTGAGGTCACATGCAACCCAAAAATCAAACATAATCAAAACAATTATCACTTATTCATGACATATAATATACATTGCTGGTTATGAAAAAACATAAAAACAAAATTATAAGCGTACAATCGCAAATCAAAAGTGCAATATTTTGTACTTGGGTTTACTTCCCAAGAAACGAAGCAGCCGGGATACCGAACCCAGTCAGAGCGGGTGGGTGTGCACTCAAATGTAACGGCTGGTTCATTTGCAGATGCCCTCACGGCTCATTGTGTTTGTATATATAGAGATGTTGTGTTTTGTAAATACATGCTCATTTTTTGTGTATAACATTTTGCAATCAACAGACATCATAACATGTCATGTGTACAAGTATCACACCTGCCTGTCTGCGTAATTACATAATGTGACAGAGACCGAACTTGGGCCATAAATCAATGCGTTTTGTTTATGGTGTATAGCCTGATAGGTGTTAAGTTCAAATTGCATGTGGTCAGTGATTGAAATTGTGTATTGAATATTGTCATTAGCAGACGGGCAGGCAGACACATAGGTGCCAATAAAACAGACATTGAGTTTTGTCTCTGACAACGACATCTATATGACAGGTAGAAATTCTGTCGACGCTAAATAATGACATTGCTTTAAGTATCGAACTGAGAAAGTGACTCGGTAAGAAGAACGTGTGGTGAAATAGACAAATGAAATTATATAAACAGTTAAATCGGTAATCTACTGTAATAACATATAAAAAGCTTGCGCCTGTGAAATATCAACAAAACATTAGAAAAATAGCTCACACCAAAGCCTTCACCGAATATTCACCGGACAACCCGCTTCCAAGCTCCGCGAACCTATTTCATTACGCATGTGCTATGAGCGCAGCCCAGCTGTTGAAACCACTTCAATTCCCCCAAGCTCTGGGGGAAAGTTAGTGAATCATTTGAACTATGATTTCGCGCTCGCGTTATTTTTCAACTTTATAAGTTGAATTTGCATTTTTGATGATTTGTTTCATATGGATTTTGTCCATAACGAAAGGTATCAGAATCTGCAAAGTTGTGTTTTACGTTGCATGCGACCTTTAAGTGTCACTGGCCCACACTGATCAAAATCCATCAAATGACAAAAGTTTACAGTAAAACATAAAAGTTATGAATATTTATGGGCTGAAATCATCACACATTGTTAATAGTGTTACTAAACAATTGTTTACACCTGTATGTTGTTGTATGTTTCATTCAGCAACAAGCCACATGTGATGATGGCTCTGTAAATATTCACATTTAGAGCACACAATCCTATGATCAGGGTGCCGTTGTACAAAGTGACCTTAGCGCTAAGGTGACCGTAACTCCCATAGCTTAGCATAAACTTAGGTAGCCAGAGTGCTAAGATTGTTTTGTACAACGGCACCCTGGTGATTGCTATCATGAACATTGATCTACACAATGAGATTCATCAACCATTCCCCACTTCTTTCTTCCGCAGATTAACAGGTAACGCAACTTGGTTTGACCCTACATATTGTTATTAATTTTGGAGCTTTAAGTTACTTTTGTGAGTTCTCTAGTAATTGTTGTGTTAGGTTTTGTAATAATTTTAGTGTACCATGCCGTCATATGATTCCGTGGTACTTATATTATTTGGGATGGGGGAACGGGAGGAACTCTTACCCCAAGATCTTAAATATTTTGTATCTGCAATGGAAATAAGTCAATATCATTTACATACTTTGTTTGGTCCTTTGTCCGAAATTTGGGAAACATTATGAGGATCGATGGGGAACGCGCAAGATCTGTCATTCTGTGAAGCATCCGAGCCCACTGTCGACAGACTATGCTTATTGATGGTATATATTTATAAGCTGCAACCAACTGTATTGTTGCTTTAACCAATATCAGACTTAAATCTTACCAATTCCATTTGTGCACGCGTTAATGATTCCAGTAAACATGTGTCAGGCTGCAAAATGCAGAGAGCTCTCGGCCGAGGTGGTTGGGTACAGTACAGTTTACTTCACAGGCTCATCTGAAACGAAAATGGATTTCCGCGTATATCGTTTGAAATTAGCTTGCGGACATTGGTTTTAGATCAATGTGTTTTGTTTACTTAAGAGGGCTTTAGATATCCGATGCGGGATAGTTTTTAATGATCGATACAAATAATGGATAATTTGGTATAAATGTTGTGGCGTCTCAACCTCTTGTCAAAATATATTTTTCGTCACAAGCTCCCCACAACGATTAATGTTAAGCGCTGGGATGGAGCTTGGTTTCGCCAGGCTACGATCTTAAGAGTTCCCTCCCTTGTCCGTAATTGCGCAACGCCCCATGTCAACACATATTTGTCCATTTTTTCAATCGAAACCAGTTAATTTGCCAGTGAATTCGATGTTTGGATATATTCAAATAATATTGCACCTTGATCACAGTTAAAAAGATCTATGTCTGTTATACTCTCGATCTATTTGGTACACAGTTTTTTCTATTGTGTTCAGGTATGTTAAGTTAGGCTATTACAGGACAAACATTTAGTCCCAGATATACATATTAAAGGTCACATGCAACGTAAAACACAACTTTGCAGATTCTGATACCTTTCGGTATGGACTTACCGAAACAAAGCGTCAAAAATGCTAATTCAACTTATAAAGTTGAAAAATAACGCGATGAAAAAAACGCGCGAAATCGGAGTTCAAACGTTTCACTAATTTTCCCCCGACTTTTCTGGGGAAAACGGGTTTCAACAGCTGGGCTGCGCTCATAGCACGTGCGTAAGTAAATAGGTTCGCGCAGCTTGCATGGAAGCGGGTTGTCGGGTGAATACTTGGTGAAGGCTTTGGTGTGAGCTATTTTTCTAATGTTTTGTTGATATCTCACAGGCGCGAGCTTTTTATATGTTATGACAGTAAATTAACTGTTTATATAATTTCATTTGTCTATTTCACCACACGTTCTTCTTACCGAGACTCTTTCTCAGTTCGATACTTAAAAGCAATGTCATTATTTAGCGTTGACAGAATTTCTAACTGTGATATAGATATGCCGTTGTCACAGACAAAACTCAATGTCTTGTTTTATTGACACCTGTGTGTCTGCCTGCCTGTCTGCTAATGACAATATTCAATACACAGCTGCTATCACTGACCACATGCAATTTGAACTTAACACCAATCAGGCTATACACCATAAACAAAATGCATTGATTTATGGCCCGAGTTCGGTCTCTGTCACATTATGTAATTACACAGACAGGCAGGTGTGATACTTGAACACATGACATGTTATGATGTCTGTTGATTGCAAAATGTTATACACAAAAAATGAGCATGTATTTACAAAACACAACATCTCTATATATACACACACAATTAGCCGTGAGGGCATCTGCAAATGAACCAGCCGTTACACTTGAGTGCACACCCACCCGCTCTGACTGGGTTCGGTATCCCGGCTGCTTCGTTTCTTGGGAAGTAAACCCAAGTACACAATTTTGCACTTTTGATTTGCGATTGTACGCTTATAATTTTGTTTATATGTTTTTTTATAACCAGCAATGTATATTATATGTCATGAATAAGTGATAATTGTGTTTTAATTATGTTTGATTTTTTGGTTGCATGTGACCTTTAACCTTTTTTTTAAAAAAAAGATATTGACAAAATGACTTTTTAAATAATAACCTAAATGGTGCACAAAACAATGCTTGATAAATTCTAGGGCTGGAGCAATTTACACTTACCGAATCATTCTTGGCTTCAGTTACACTGTACATAACATATGTTAGATATGGGATTACACTTTCTTAGTAAAGTACAGATTCTAGTTCTTTTGTTGAGTTGAGTCCCATGCGGGATCCGAACCCACACCCTCAGTGTCAGGCACCTAATCGCCAGCACACAAAGTCAGCCGCCTAACCCGCCCAGCCACCGCGGCTTCCAGCCTGTACTATACTAATACCCCCTTCGCACTTGAAGCGGAATGCTGTCGGAATGAAAATTCCCGGAGATTACTGCATTCCGAATGCATTCCAACTATTCGGGTCAATTCTTGTAACATGCCCGAATGTTTTGAACATGTTCAAGACTTTCGAGGTACATTCGAAGTGGAAAAATATCGAAAGGCATTTGAAGTGCATTCTAACTGCATTCTAAGTATTTTTTAATAGTACTGTATCGTTGCTACAAGACATTCCTTGTCGTAAGAGGCGACTAACGGGATCGGGTGGTCAGGCTCGCTGATTTTGTTGACACATGTCATCGTATCCCAATTGCGTAGATCGATGCTCATGCTGTTGATCACTGGATTGTCCGGTACAGATTTGATTATTTACAGACCACCGTCATATAGCTGGAATATTGCTGGGTGCGACGAAAAACTAAACTCACTCACATGCTAAGGTTTGAGAGAGGATACGGACTAGATTCAGCACATCAACCACTTCAACAAATTACAATATGTTGGCAAAGTTCGGCAATGTCTCGATCTCTTTTCATAAATTGCTTGCACGTTGCAACCCCCAACCCCTCTTCCGCCAACAGACACAGATACACAACACAGACACACACACACACACACACACACACACACACACACACACACACACACACACACACACATTTCAAGAGTGCAGCTTGACACTGCTCAGTTCGAACATAGCTCTTCGCAGGCTAGATCTACGCGGTCAAGAGAAGTTTTGTGCTCCTGAATACTGCGAAGTACGTACCGTTGATCATCATGGACATGAGTTTGCAAACAGCTCCATAATTGGTTAGTGTCTATGTAGTGTATACGCGAAGTTGAGGGGGAACCCATCATTTGTTACCTGTCAACGTACACGAACCGAAGAATGGTAACGATGGTGATCCACAGGACCAAGATCTCTCGCCTTAGGGGCATCATACAAATCATGGTAAGCAATGACATGTACTGAACGTACACACGAGGATTGGATATGCCATCGATATGCTTTTTGTGCAGCTTTTTTAGAATAAGCTCATTTTTGCTGACGATGTAGTTCATTTGGTACAATAAATTTACGTGCATATATTTCATAAATGTGATTCCAACAGAAAATAAGTTTTCAATTTGTTGTACGTGACATCATCAGTAACAGTAATAAATGGTTGAAATGTATAACTGTTGGAAATGTGTAATGAATGAATTTTCTTATGTATCATGAATGAATGAAGGATATGTCATAAGGAATGAAGGTCTGAAATCTATAATGAATGAATGCTGACAATGCACAATGGCTCAATTCTCGAAATGCATATTGAATGAATGTTTAAAGTGTAAACAACATACAGAATCAGTGTTAAACCTTTACTACCGTAAATGAAATGTTACATGGTAAAGACAAACGATTCAAGGTACGGTAACGATCAACAGTCCATAACACCGTCAAAGGTCGATGTAAGTCCTGGGGAAGATCCTGCAGGTGTTATCCCAACCCAGATCACGAGGCCCCCACCTCCAAAGGATCCCCGTGCAGAACACGGGCCTGATGTAACGTCCACCAATGTGGCTGTAGACACGTGTCCTGCCGCCAGCTCGATTAATAGAATTCTTCTCCACTGACGCTGCCCATCGCATGTGTTGTCTGCTCCTATGGATGTCCTGGCGTCAGAACTGGCCGATGGTCTGGCGACTTGCACGGACGCAATAGACGCGTGGACATTATCGAACTGTTCCCGCCGACAGTTGCCAGGTATGATACAGACTGTAGGGGCTGCTTGCTGGAAAATGTGTCAGAGTTACGTGGTTCGAATCCATAGGTCTTGGATCGTGGGATCAGTACTGGTGAGCAATGTGGCAACGATCTGTAACTTGCTTGTTTTGCTGAAAACGCCACCATAAATATCAAATGGTGGATGAACGTTGAGTCCACGAACAAGGTAACAGACTGAAGCATACATACAGCTCTCCATCTGCCATCCCGGATATCAATTCTGTAGCTGGACCAACCAAATACGATTGTCTAATTGATTAGGGCGGATATTTTTTTAACACCTCTAAACGATGTGGCTCCTCTCAGAAAAATATTTGCATTAACATGTTTACCGTATTACTATTCATTACTTCATGTTTATGATAAACTCTGACTGATACGTTATTTCTGTATCACAACCTAGTGAGCGCCAAAACCATTACACGTTTCTTAGATCAAATTATTGTACAGCTGCTATAAGACACGCTTCGTCTTACACTTGATAACATGCCTCTGTACCCATCTATGTGATAACCATGGCAACAACAAGCTTCACTTTGGGATGAAGCGATGTACCAAATATATAAGATACGTATTGTCATACACAGGCCACAATACGATATACACGTCACGATCGCACTTATTCATGTCAAATCACATTGGAAAATTTTCACGAGATGTATTTCAGAGCAGGTTCCAGGGGAATAGCTGCTGTATACGAATATTTTGGCAAAAATATCGATACAGAAAAAGAACTCCCTGAATACATTAAAACCGTATTCTTTGACATGTCTGCTTTGTCACGTGTATTCAACAAAGAATTGTTTTGTAAAACAGGAACGACTTTCACACTCTTTCTAACAGTTTACTTCCCTTTTCTAGCACTGGTTCTACTTTTTGAGTGTTTGGTCATAGCAGTTTTGGTGATGATATTCTTTGCAGGGGATGCACAGACGTAAGCTGGTCCTCGTATTTGGTGGGCCCGCAGACCAGAAGAAGCAGCAAATGCCTTTTCACACACTTGACACTTGTATGGCTTCTCCCCTGTGTGTCTGCGAATATGTATCTTTATGTTGTCCTGTTTGTCGAACTGCTTGTTACAGAAGCTGCAAGAAAATGCCTTTACATGTTTCAAAAACACTTTACAAGTTTTAGAATGCTTGTTGAGGTCAGAAAACAGCTTGAACATCTTGTGACACTTGCTGCACTTGTACACATCACCACCCAAATGTTCAGTGTAGTGGGAATTCATCAACTCGTGGGTCTCAAAGGACCTGTTACAGACGTTGCACCTGACTTGAAAGGATTTGTTGGTGGGTGCCCTGTGTTCATTGTCATGCTCCATCTCATGCTCCTTCGGGTGTTGAAGAGAAGAGCATGTGAACCTGTATAGTGGACAGGGAAATACCTTTGGTCCTGTAAACCAGAGAACATTATCACATAATTTTCAATTTCCAACTTGTATCACAACCAAAATAATACAGGGATTTATTTCTGTTCCTACAGCAAATAACAGGGAAAAATCATTACGTTTTGTTATATACCACTCAAAAGAACTTAAGGAACATACACACAAAAGGCTAGGTACTGCATTGTCCACCAGCCATGGCTGATTAAATATAGTCACTTGGTGTTCTAATTGGTGTTCTCTGATTTGAGTTGCATGAAGTGGGATCTTAAAAATTTCCCATTTGCGTAGATCGATACTTATGCTGTTGATCACTGGACTGTCTGGTCCCCGATGCGATTATTTACAGATCGCCACCATATAGCTGGAATATTTTTGAGTGCAGCGTTAAAAACAACAAACAAACAAAACAAAAACAAGAAGAAGTGGTAAGTTGTCAAAGTGACAGACATGGCGATAGGTCCTGGGAATTAATTTATCATTTTATGATAGTTGTCAAATGCATGATATACATGATGGAGAGGAAATACGAAACTCTGGTATTATGACTGTTGACTTGCATTTATTAATTGTGAACCAAGATACACTACACTATTGGAATATTGCCAAAGAGCCGAATAAAACTAGGCGTACCTAAAATATCAGGTAAAATATCTAGTGTACTTATCCTTCAGACTGGATGTATGGTATATCCTAAAGTCTAGACTGGATATATGGTATATCCTAAAGTCTACAGATATGGTATATCCTAAAGTCTACAGACTTACCCTTATGTTCCAGCAGATGCAGTATCATGGTGGAGAAGGATCTGAAGGTCTCCTCACAGGATGTGCAGCTGTTTGTGGTCTTCTGCTTGTACCATTCCTTGGTCTGCTCTCCATCTGTCTCAGAAACAGCTTCTGCACCATCTACATCATCCACTACACCATCCAATTTATCATATGATTCATCCAAATCTTCCATCTCTTGAGAATCAAATATTTGTTGGTCCTCATCCTCAATATCAGAGCCAGGTGGACTGCATGTGATCTCAAAACCTTCACAGGTGACTGTGACCTCTGGCTTCTCTCTCTGTTGTTCACCTCTGTTCCTTCACAGTTCCCACTGTGAATTTGATAAAGGCGATCATTGGAGAAAGCTCTGTTACAATTGGGGCACTGGTGCTCATGGGTTTTCATATGTTCATGCAGTGATTCCTTGGACTTCCACTCCAACTGGCAGACATCACATGGGTAGGTAGGCAAATACTCTTTGTCAGAAGGCATCAATTTGCCATGCAGAGCCAGTTTCCGTCCCTTCAGATCTGATACCAACTTGTCGGGTTTGTCATAAACATCACCCTGGGGCAGCTTCTCATCCATGTGAGTCATTATGTGCTTATGATGAGCATCATAATGAGCAAAACGTTTGTTACATGTCCTACATTTATAAGGTTTCTCACCGGTGTGAATACGGATGTGTTTCTTCAGCCCAATCCGACTAGACAAAATCTTTGGGCAAAGTGGACAGCGAACATCATATTTTCTGGCTCTCCTGGTTGTCACAGCTTCAGGCTGAATGTCATCCTTCTGCTCTGATCCATTATTCTTTTGTTTCCTCATCGGTACATTAAAAACATGTTTGGGCTTCTTGGGGATTTTGGTCAATGTTTTTAGCTGATTTGCATGCTTTATCACAGGTGTATTGGAAACTTCTTTGGAGCCCAGACAGTAGGTATTTGCCTCCATGGAAATATCCCCCTCAGCTCTTCCTGTCCTTGCCAATATCATCTTTGTTCTTCCCTAACTTGGAAATGTCCTTTGTGTTCTTCCCCTCTTTGGCAGCATTTGTAATGATATCAGGAGTCTGTTGGTGATGTGACTTGTAACAGTTACCCTTGTCCATTCCTTTATAGCAGTTTCCTGGTGTTCTGTTTCTTCCATGGTATTTCAGTCCAGCTAATGCTGTGAACCTCTTATCACAGATTCTGCATTTAAAAGGTTTTTCACCAGTGTGTGTCCGAACATGTGACTTTAAGTTGTATGACTTAGCAAATAACCTGCCACAATATTGACACTCATACTTTTTCTTCTTCTTCGTGAGTTTTACAGTGTACTTGCAAGTCAGCTTCATACATGAAACCAAGGCCACATTGTACACACCCAAATAGAGATTCTTTGGGATGAAGATTTTGATGTGTTCTTATTGTCTCCTTAGTGGTAGACTTTAAATTACAAATGATACATGAAAAATACATCTGAATGTCCTTCATTATTTTCCACAACTTATTTTCCTCTTCAGGCATGGTGAAACTGTGTTTTGCAGGCTTCAAAGTGTCGCAGATTTTGCTGACAGCAACAGCTGAGACATTGCCTGCAATTTGTCCAGAACTGACACTGTCCATTGAAATCACAAAATCATTATAAACGTTGGAACAAGACTCGGCAGGTTCAGTCATTTCATTGTTTTTGTTGTTGACCTTAGTTCCAAAACATCTGGGTTTAGGGATCTTCCTTTTATTCCTCCATACTGATGTGCTATCACGTATGGGTGTGTCTTGTACAGGGGCTGTGGATGGACCATTTATATTCCGGTAAGGATTACTAGGGGAACACTCTCCACAGTGGCCAATGGTAGCATGAAAGGTGCCTGGCTACTACTCTTCGTCTGTTCAGAAAGAACATGCAGGGCAGCAGCCTCTGACCCTCCTTGTTGCTCTGCATCTGTTAGAGTCTGCATCACAAGAATATCATCTGGATCTCCATATTCCATCTTTATCTTTCTCACTGTTACAGGAGAGTTCCTGTGAGCTTCCTCAGATAACTTACTTAGTCCTCTGGGGCCAACTTCATTAGCTTCATTGGCAGAAACATTACCAATATCAACAATACTTGTATCTGAATTCTCCATCTTATTGCTAAGATTACCATTGACATCTGTGTTCACTTTGTTCAGTTTCACATAGGAGTGTTTGCTTTTCATGTGAAACTTCAGCCTACTGCTGGTGATGAATCTCTTTGCGCACAGAGTACAGGAATAGGCACATTCCCCAGTGGGTCTTCATATGGTTCTTCCAATTGACCTTTCTCATGAATGTTCTTGCACAAACACTACATGTGTATTTGGCCACATTCATATGTCCAGGTTTATTTGTCTGTTCACTGCAGTGCATCTCAAGTTCAGAAACTGAACTGACAATCTTGTCACAAGATAGGCAAGTAAATGCTGATGAGTCAGAAGGTAACTCATCATCATATTGTTCATCCATCATGTCAGTTACTTCAGTAACATTTTCAGTTGTAACATGTGCTTGTTTGTCTGCTAACAGATTAATAGATGTTTCACATCCCACAATGTTTAATGACTGTCTTTCTGGAGATGATTCAGATCCTAAAGACAGAGCCATCTTCTTCTTGATAGCTTGATGTTTCTTCATATGGCGTTCCAATACAGCTTCGTCTTTAAACATGTTGCCACACACTTCACATTCCAAAGTAACATCACTGCTGCATTGTTTTTCAACATTAGTGATATCATCAGCTGGGAGGGTCATCAGGTGGAGGTCTCTTTCAGAGGAGCTCTCTTGGTGGCAGTGTCCACATACAAATGACCTCTTGAACTGGTGATTGACTCGATGCTTCTGGAGAAATTACTGAGAGACAAACTGTCGATCACACTGGTCAAAAGACAAAAGTGGTTTATTTGAGATTTCAAATGTTTCTAGACAAGCTGGTACAAATCTCTCTGATTTCTTTTCTGAATCATTCTCGCTGGTGTCTGGAGTGGGTTCATAGTCTGGATTGATGAAGATTTCTATGTTCATGGAGGCCAGGTTGCATCAGCTGCATCTGATTTCACATTTCACAACATTTCATTGCACAAGACAATCAGGCATTCCCAACAACTTGACTTGACTCTGAGAAATCATTTGCATGACAAAATATGTATTCTTCAATTTTGTCATTTTAATACAGACTTTAATTTCCAAACTGTATTAACATTGGAACTCTGTTCATATCATATATTTCATAATGTAACTGAAACAGAAGTGTATCTAGTTTTGAAAGTGAATTCTGAACATTTTCACTTGTCCTTGCAAAGCTGCATTCAAGAAATGGCTATGGCAAGACCAATGAGTAAAGATAACTCTTGGATATTTAAGGCAGATTCACATTCTAATTTGCACTTGACACACACTTTCATGACCAAAAACATGACCAAATTAACACATATCCTGTTATATAGGATTCCCCCTATATTGTCTGCAAAACAAGCATTGTTGTCTGCAAATATAGAGAATGACTGTATGATATCATGATGAAGTTGTGTTCCTCATTGTTTCTAACACATACTGACTAGGAAAATCTTATTGCATAGTTTCAAACACAAAAAGTCTCAAATATGTACATTCATTGTGTTTGGATGACTTGACTTATAAGGCTAGTAGTTGACAAGCAATAGTATGATATTCCAGCTGAATTGTGTCCTATGGACCTGGATCAATGAATCATATTGTGATATCATATGCTTGCCGCTATTGGGGATTAATTCTAACATCAAAACTTCTTGGAGTACTGCTACTAATATGATAAAGATTCTTATTGGTTACTGGATATCACACTCTAGACAGTTAAAGGACCATGTTGCATGCATATATTTACATTGATCACATATATACTGTGTTGATGGTTATCATACCCATGGAGATCTGGGTTAGAAGTGATGCTGGCAGAAAAGGCAACAAACAGGATCAAGTGGTCAGGCTTACGAACTTGGTTGATGCATGCTATCATAGCCTAATCAACACTTATGTCAGTATCACTTGATTGTGTGGTCTAACCTTGAATGTTTATAGGCTGCAGCCATATAGATGGAATGTTGCTGAGTTCAGCATTAAACAACGCATCATGCTCATTAAATGACGTGAGTAAAATGAGTAAATGGATACAAGTGGTTCCAAAAGACACATGACATCGGTGGGACAGGACACGCTCACCTTTTCGTGAGCACCTGGTATCATTACGGTTTCATAGTGCTTCATAAACACATGCTCTGTCATCGTATCGCATGGTGGTTGTCTGGTCCAGACACTAGGGCTGGGACGGGACCAAATTTTCTACCCGGGGACCCCACACCCTATTACCCTACCCTACCCGGATACCCGTTATGCTAATTCCTGACATCAAATTTGTAAGAAATGGCAATATATTCTTCTGCTCGAAGACTAAAAATTTTGAGTTTTTCATTATGTTAACCATGTTTTATATTCAAAAGAAGTGACTGTAATTATGTTTAAATCTTCAAAGACAATGCAACCTTTTAATCATCAAAGGATAAAATATTACATTTTCTAATCTATTAGTCACATGATCATAATGGGTCCGGGTATTGTGGACGGGTACCCGAGTCCAACTCATTACCCACCCGTCCCGGGTATATGGGTTTCCCGTCCCAGCCTTACCAGACACGATTGTTTACAGACATGAGCTGTAATACTACTAAAACAAGTACATACTCATGATATAGTCTTCAATGATTGATTTAGAAAGGAACTGGTGATTGAATGGAAATCCTTTTCTTATTGTGAAACAAGAATTTGAAACAGACTGCCACTGCATCTAAAGATTTCTCTGTTTCGTAATTTGGACTAAAGACATATGCCTACTTCAAAATTTTCAGCAATCTGAGTGAACTTTCAGTGGCACTATATACATAATATATCTCGGGTTTTTACCCTCATCTGTTGTGTATCATTATGAGAAAGCTCTTGGTTAACAGAATGGAGCACTTAATAAACAGTTATTTGTAGTATATTGCTCAGGCTACCATGGTCAGCCTGCTTGACTTGATCAGTGTAACTGCTAGTTCCAGCCTGATAGACCTCCGGGACTGTTATAAGTCATAAGTTATGTCATACCTTATGGCTAGGGAATGTGATGATGATTTTTATGGAGAAGCATGTACAATGTGAATGACACCCTCGTAAAACATAGCGATAAGTGACAACAAAATAATGATTGTTTGTTAAACAACTTTTTATTTTGGTGTCCAAAATTGTGAGACAAATCATCAGAGTTGGTCTGTCGATTTCCTGTGACTGTGCAAAATATTGTTTTGTTGCAAATATTAGATTTTGTGTTCGTTAGCAATTCATCAGTCTCAAATGAAATCAAACGGACTGTACAAGCAATTCAAATTTGGGGTACTGTAATAATATATCCATATGCTGGTTTAAATAGGTTGGAATTTAAATGTCATACTTTCTTTTCAATCCTGTTTATAAATATGGCTATAATATTTGCATTTGCAAAAATATTCTTGCAGGTGAACTTATTTTCTGACCTGTATCAGCACTATAATTTATGTAATATATAACGTCAATGGCAGTGTAACCAGTCTCTCCAAAACAGTTTAAATTAGGCGTAAAAGTCAAATAGTGACAAATGAATGAATGCATCACTGAAAATCAGTGATGGGACAGAGTGGTCTGGCAGCACTACACACTCAACTTGCACACGTGTGTTTGTTGCCTGATCCTGCACAGCAGTACTCCTGCCTTGCAAGTAAATCATGAGAAAACATAAGGACCCTTTGGTGTTTCACAAGATTACCTGGTATAACAATTGTTGCCTATGGCAATAATTGCCTTCACCTTTATCACTTATGCATGTATCTATTAATCCACTTATGCATGTATCTATTAATCCAATCCTAATTTCAAAACTGGTCCATAACAATAATTACCATCACTTACTCAATATCATTACTGAAAAAAAGACCTGTTTCATCCAGGGTTTAACATTAAAGGGGCAAATATGCACTACATACAGAATGGATGCAGGCAAAAATATATATTGTTTCATCAGACAAGCGCAATAATATCCATTGTACCAGTACT